GTCATATATATTGCTAAAATTGAATTCGAATTTATCAGCCCTATCTGGTACACCCGGTACACAATTTTAATGGACCGCTTTTATCAGCGCTTTCCAATGACTTGTTTTTGTCGTCTTCATCGTTTACACAAAGCGAATTTTTTAATATAAAAGCGAAGGCCTGACTGCGTGTATACGGTACGACGCAGAGAGTCAAAATGAAATATTCGTTCTTCATTGTAATCTTGGCTGTTTCCCTGTGTCTTGGGAGCTGCGATTTGCAACAATGCGAACCAGACATATGCGAGAGGACCGATTGTCGACCGACCCCGCCTTCCTGCCCTGAAGGTCAAGTATTGGGCACTGACAATTGTGGCTGTTGTAGGATCTGTCTGTGAGTATTATTGTACCCATTTTTCACCTTCAATTTTTTACCACCAGTATGGTGTTTCAAAACAAATGCGAAAAACTTAAGGGGTTAAAAACCAGCCAATAGAAAATAACGTTTTTTTTATCTTAAGAACGAGAAAAGATAAAACACAGAATTAGACTACCTCTATCGTTCTAAACTTAAACTAAATTTAAGGAAAAACTTATGCAGTGTCATTAAAAATTAATTTTTTATATAAATTTTTCATAAAACTTACTGTGCTGTTAAACAGTTGAATGTTGTATCAACATTTATCAAATTTTCATTTTAAAAACAATGACTATATATGCCCGTAGGTATAATGCATATCTGCCACTTCTGCATTTGTATAATTCGCCATTATTGCATTAAAACTCTTATTACCGAACAATTTATTTTGTAGTCAAATGAAGTGCACAATGTAAGAAATAATGGGAAACACCTTGAGAAGTGACAGCCACCCAATGGAATTTATTTCTAATTATTTTTTTATTTTTTACCGATAAGTATTATGGAAAAATTACAGGAGACAACAAAAATTTCTAATAAACCCGTGTAACAAAATTTATTTTATTTTAATAAAGGTTAGGTTGGTCTTGATCCAAAATTTATATGTACGGGATGTCCAAATACTGCAGGGCGTTTCATAAATATGTGGAAAACAAACTTATATTTTTTTTATTATAATTGCATTACATCCCTTTTATACACAAGCATCCGACGTAGGGTCGTCGTGGTCTATACCGAGCATTTTCGGATTTACAAAATGGAAAATATTTATTTTCGTGAAAAAATCAAATAGAACACTCTGTATGTTATACTTCTAATAATTGCTCCCATTAATACTCGGTCGATTTTATTAAGTATACCCTATACCTTAATTTTTTGAGGCATATACATTTTTACGAAAGAAATTGTCAAATTAAAAAAAAATGACGCAATAAGGCTAGAAAAAAAAATAAATAGGTAAATTTTTAATTTTGTTAAAAGAATGTTTCCTCTCTTAGAAATTTTGCCTTTCTTATTATTGAATTATAATAGTATATTATGCAACAAGTGCGGTAAACGGCATTTAACTCACGAGTTTATTTGGCACGAGCGGAGCGCAGTGGAGCCATAATATACAGAGTGTTCCATTTATAAATATATAAGTTTGATTTCAGACTTATTTATGAATCATCCTGTATATTTAGAAATATATTTAATTTTTTCTTACCAAAAAAGTATTGAAGGCATGTTAACGGGTATTAAGGTTAAAAGTTATTTGTTATGGTTAATTCATTGGCGACATACCACAGAGATATCAATTCGGATGTTTTTGAAAAGTATTTTGGTGAAATTCTATGCGGTCGATTCAGTAATAGTTCTTAATAATGTAGAGGAAAGTTATAGAAAACACGAAATTAACACCATTTTCAGTATTGGTTATCCAATCACCAATACCCAAACCCAGGTGGTATAGCGCCTATCAATGACAAAAAAATGAAAATGGTTCGCTGTGTCACTTTGTAGTCTCGTTGCACATCTAATGAGGTTTTATTACCGTACACCTTTCGGAAATAGATTATACGCATTTGAACGTGTTATATGTTTCTGAAAATTGTGTTTTTCTTTTGTTACAGAGAGGTTGTAGGAGCATAATATTCCAAACGGAATTCAACTGTTAAAATTTAATAAACAACGAAATATACGTTATAAAAGTTAAGTTTTCTTTTTTGTTTCCCTTCTCCAAAGTTTAAGTTGGTACCGTCTCAAAATTACGATCGAGCTAAATCTATAACAGAGAAACGGTTAGTTTTGGTTAGTTTCCTGCAAATGCAGGAATATTTTGCTATTTTATTCTGAATATGTTTCTCGTCCCATTTTTTATGGTTTTGCTTATCGAAAAGGCAAAACTGGGTAAAAAATATATATTTCAAGTACAAAACATATCCCTAATTTTTTTATGAGTAGGCCATCGAAAACACAATATTTTTTTACATAAATTAAATAATTTATTAGGAAATAGTATATTATGCAACAAGTGCGGTAAACGGTATTTGACTCGCGAGTTTATTTGACACGAGCGGAGCGCGGCGAAGCGGGTTTTTAATAAACGAGTGAGCTACAAATTTTACCGAACATGTTGCATACTATACTTTTTCTACGACTGTTAGTTTTTTATTACATTTTCGCAGAACAACACGAATACATTCACTAACATGACCGTCAGAATTGACAAACGTCAAAATTCAAAGGGTGGGAAAAAATCTCCGAAAACATCCGATTGCTCCCAAACCCGTGCGGTAAAATCCCGGAAATGTCCGAAGTGACTCGGATCCGTGGGAAACGAAACTGACGTGGTAAAGTGACGCTGCCCGCACGCTAGATCGGTGGTTAATTAGGTATTTTACTGACGGGAGTATAAAAAGTTAATTACACTTCAAAATCAAATTATTGATTGTGTGCAATATTACTTGCGCATTGATAATACACTCCCACTGTATTTGTAAACACAAAATTTTCGAGAATCCGCCATTAGTGGCCACGGGATTAATATAAGCCGATTCTCACCATTTCATTCCTGCTAAAAAATGTTCTTGCAACAATACCAAATAAGAACAAAAAACTAAGCACTGGATTTATTCTTCCGCTAAAATCGAAAAGAAAAAGAAATGATGGCCCTATTATCAAAATTATATACCATTATATGGAATTTCTCATAATCAAATGTCCGCGCCCTTAGCTATAAGTGGTCGATATTTTCCCATATTTCGTTTTGGGTGTTTTGAATGTTTATTTTTGACTCACATTATTTATCGGTCTATCCTAAACAGTTATAATTCTGTCATTCGTAATATTGTGCACCCACTTTGGTATTTTTCCGAAGTGAACGGAACGCGAACCTGTCTATCTTTATAGAAGCACTGGTTAACTCAGATTTTGAGTAGCTCCGATAGTTTACTTTTGATAGGCTATTTTGTAGTTTGAAGCGCGTTGCGGATCGTTGGTTTCCCTTTAATAATCAATCAAGTGATTACATTATTCTTTTGTTTTAAGCACTGTGTTAGGTGCAATCTTTTAATATGCCCGAGAAATCTAACCCATAGGCAACTATGATAGGAAAGTTGTATTCATTTATAAGAAAATCTGTGCGCCACTGCATTTGCGTTAAAAGAAATGCACCAATATTTTTTTAATCCGAATCCAAAATTTGTCAGATAGATATCAAAATTTACTTTTAACTGTATAGATACCAATGAAATTTAATATTCAGGGTAAAGTAAGCTGCAAAAAACTTTTATGGTTGATGGAAATGTGTAATAAATAAATTTGAAGAACCTTCTGCAAATGGTTAAATAAATTTATTGTAGGGGACGTATGGTACTTTTCGTGTATTTCGTATTTCCGAACTTTTGTGCGCCTTATTATATTACTTCTTACAGTTTCATGTAAATATGCAAAATAGTTGAAAGCAGGCCTTGACTAACATGATCACAATAAAAGACAGTAAAATAGTGCGAAGTGGGCTCTGACAAAAAAAAATTGAAAGTCGGTTTTGACTAAAACAAGTGCGATATTAATTTAATTTTTATTAATGATGTTCAGATGATATGAAAATATTTAGAGTTATCCGTAATCAATATGACTGTCACCATCTTCAAAGGGACCATCAAACTGCAAACTCAACAGATTGCCATTAAATATTGACAAATGTTTTTCTGTTAGTTTTTCCAACAGGGTTGGTTGTATTGGTTTTGATTATTTTTTAGGCACTAAGCTTTCATTTGCAAACCATAGCAATCAAACTTTAACAGTGCCTTGAAAATGTTAGGATTCATATCTCGGAAAGCTGAGTTTTGTTTTTTGTTTTGTTTATATATATATAAAGTTCTATATATATGATAGCTTTTGCTTTTTCTTTATTTCTACTATGTTGTTTATTGGTACGTTTTCGATAGTCGGAATTTTCATTTGACCTGGTAACTATACTTAACCAATTAATTGTTTGACAATAAAGCTTATTATTGTTATTATTAGTAATATTATTATCATTAAAGAGGCACTTAGGCTTTGGTGAATTTCTTTGCTTTGCTATTTGTCAGTATCTTTAATGTTTTTATAAAGTTTTGGTTAGTTTTCCGATAATGCCCAGACATAACTTGTTTCCGCATGTGATATATTTATATGCACCCACATTTTAAAAGTTTTTGGGAATATTTTTAACAGACTCTGCGAAACTGGTGAATGGAAATAATTTGCAAAATTTATTGCCGAATAGAAACATGTTTGTATTTTCACAAAATTGTGTTAGCTGTTATGATCTGTACCACCATATTAGCTTAGCATTAACTAGGTTATTTTAAAATTGATGCCATAAAAAACGAAATTTTGAATGAAAATTTCAAACCCAAATTTCTCGAAAACGTCAACTGGGGACGAAATTTACAGGGTAAAAAAGGTGTACGAAGTGATATCTTTATTAAAAATACACTAAGGTACAAAAAAGTTAGGAAGAATCAAATGCAAGGAAAGTACCATATGTAGCGCCCTCTACAACTTGCGCCAAAATTTTTCACGAAATGGGACTTATGGGACACCCTGTTTACCTATATATTTTATTTCAGGGGCTGTTCCATAGAAACGATGATATGTGTGTGATCTGAAATTTACGTTAAAACTAATAATGTGATAATATAATTTTCAGATAATATATTTTATGACTGCATTGATCACTTTCTCTGATACTTTATCACGTCTTGATATCGGTTTAAATTGTATTATCAAGAGTTATAACTTGTGGTATGCTTAAAAACCAACGGGTACAATAAAATTTAAACAAATTTTGAAACATGAAGTAATTTATTATCCAGGTAATAACGACAAATGATTAATGAAACCTAAGTAAAGATAAAATAAACAATACATTTTCAACATTTCGACCGTGCTTTTCCCACAATTGCTAATATGCATTTTCGTATAATCTGGTGTGATTAAAAGCGCGTTATAAACGATCCTTATTATGTATTTCCAAATTTCATAGGCAATAATGAATTAATCAAGTTTTAGCCACCTAATAAATTTATTAAATGTTTTTTATGACTGGTATATAAAATATGGTCTATGACTCTACGGTAAATTTCGCCAACATAGTTACTTATCAGTTATCCTGCTCATAGAATACAAAAATGATATAGTATAAAGGGAGTTCCATTTCAAATAATACAACTTTTCTTTTAACACTTTTGGGGCCATCTTTGCTAAAGTCTAATGTCTTGACCACAATATTTAGATCCGTTTAGCGTGAACAACCTTGTATAATATGTGTAAACCTTCCTCTTCATAACATTCTGCAAATTGACTTTATTGGTGGTTAGGGATTAACCGTTTATTTACATAAAGACTAACAGGCCAAAAACATAAGATTCGATGTGTATTAACGCAAGTAACAATCTATTTATAGCCACAATAACAATCTGGCTTGTAATGATGCGAATTTGCCATACCCACAAACTTATTTGAATAAAACTCACATTCAACAAGAGTTCGCTATTTCTTAACGATGAAAAACTGTGCATCGTTATTGGTCGTTTTTATTTTGCTTTCGACTGAGTGCTCAGTGTACTCTAAAAAGCAAAAGGAAAAGAAACCGCCATCATCCCCATGTGGCATTTGCGGCGTTGACGTTTTCTGCAAGGAGGCATTTCCCATTTGTTCCCACGGGCAAATAGTGGGACTCGATTACTGCGGATGTTGTCAAGTTTGCAAGAACGTGTTAAGTAAGTGTTCGGAAATTTTGTTTTCTGTTTAGCACGTAAAGCATATGTAACATGTTGATTAATATTTAAAATTATCGCCAGCAGACAACCTTGCCCCGTTTCCGTCAGGGTTATCGCGGCGTAAAAGCGTAATATTTCTTTAATATTATCGCTTCTCCCATAACCAAATTCGATAATAACGCATAATATCATCGTTTCAGGAAATGGCGATCCTTGTCCCAATGATTTTGCCGTGTGTGCCCCTGGTTCGAACTGTATTAACGGAAAGTGTGTATAAAATTCAATAGAATCAAATGTATAAGATAATACATAATACTATAATTCTTCTGTTTTGTTTATACTTTGATCCCGGTATTTTCTCTGTATGTATTTTTACAAGATAAAAATTGCTGTTGAAAGTGCATGTATTTTTAGGTGCTATTTTTTTGGATTGCATTATCTACTCGTCTGAATTTTTAAAATAAAATCCTATATCCCTATATTTTTAATTACCCTTACCAAGTTCATAGAATATTCATAGCAAGTCAAAACAAAAATATATGTATATTTTAACCATTAAAAGAAAAAAAGAAGATGACACTGGTCAACTGTTCGGTGGTAGCCAAATAATTCGTTTATTCTTGGCACGGATTCTGTCGTAGGGATTGCACATGGCGATTTGATCACTACAAACTCCCTTGTAATCGTCCCCCAAAAATTTGAAATCGGTTCCCACTGTGTGGATTTAGTGTTCTAAGTGTTTAGTGAATGTTCTAAAGTTGTAATCGTTGTCGGGCCGCTGTTTTTTCCTATTCACGCCGGTATTGAGGCCGGATGGGCCCCGTTGGTCTGTGGGGGATGCGGGGAAGCCGGTTTTTTGGTATCGGTCAAAATCCTTTTTTGCTAGCTGGTAGCAAATATTGGTTATACTTCTTCTTTTTACGTATTGGTCAAAGACCAAAGAATCCTTGGCGTATGCCGGAAAATGGGCGAATGACTACAGCAGTCGTGCCCAGCCGAGATAGATCGTATTATCTGTCTCTTTTATTCTTGGCACTTACAAGTAAAACTTTATGCTTGATACCTGTCAAAAGATTAATTATTGCAGCTCCCCAGCACATATTTATAAGATTAACCGAAGAGTACGCAAAATATATATATATATATATATATATATATATATATATATATATATATATATATATATATATATATATATATATATATATATATATATGAAATAGTTTTATTTTCCTCCTCGACGAAAGTCGGCAATGGGCGAATGATCACAGCAGTTTTGCCCAACAGAATTAGTGAATCGCTGAGTTGAATTTGATGTCTGTCAAAATAGTAAACACCGGCAGAAAATATGCTAATTTAATGTGGTATTGTTTAAATCGAGCTGATAATGCTAATTCGATATGATTCGTGATAAAACAAATTCCTAAAAAATTTTCCTTATCTGATACTATGATAAATTCCCGAAATTAATCCACGACTACTGTGTATTTACCCAACAAAACCGGAAATGTTTAAAGTAGAATCATATATAACTCCCATACTTCTCAGTTATGTGAATAAATACATAAATAATTTCAGACCGGAAGATTCTCAGGCAAATGCAGTACATTTTAATGATTTATTTGTATATGACAAAATTAATTTTAGGTATCCCTATGGGGAGGAGACGCAACATTCCACAATTTGGAACTGAACCTAGAAGTATTAGAACAAGAATTACAACTGCCTTTTAGTTTCATTTCAGGCAGTATAAGGGAATTATCCATACATGTTCCTTGGACCAGGATAGCCTCAGAACCCATAACAATAACAATTAATACAATAGGTGCATGTTCCCACAATATCTAAGCTTAGATAATGATGAATTTGTTTTAGAATGTATTTTAAATTTGAAGGGAAAAGAGGGTTCAAGCAAAGGTCAACCCAAAGGCCGGTTAAAAGACAAAAAAGTCACTGGACAAAGGTTGGTAACTGCTATTTTCTTGTTTATTGCTTGATGCAACTCAAAATATGAATTGAAAATGTAATATTAGCCTATATGCCTATATGCATACATACCCCTGTTTTAGTAAAGTATTGGAGGCCCCTCCTGGTTACATTCAAACATTAATTAACAAAATAGTCAGCAACATTAGCATTCACTGCAACAATTTGATCTTAAAATATGTGGAGGAAGATATAGTATTATCCATGAATGTAAAACTCCTGAAGGTTGAATCTGCAAATGAAAAATGGGAGTCGGCATACACAGGTTGGTTGTGACAGTATAAAACTGTCCAGAATGTTCATTAACATGACTTTTAGATATATCTCCCACTCAGGTAATCTTACGAAAAGTTATTAGCATTAATGACTTAACATTGTGCCTTGACAAACGAAACGCATCTGGAAAAATTGAAGTATATCAAGAGCCAATGCTGTACAAGTGCTCAATGACGATGCATCTTTTGAGGCATTATCATTCTGCAACTGCAAAAAGAGCATCCACTACCCGGCTCGATATGTATTGTAACAGGTAACAATAGTGAAATGTTCCATGCGGTAAAAAAAAAATTAATTATGTATGTTGCTTTTTAGTATGGAATTTAGTATGACAGAACAACAAGTGCCTATGTTGATGAGGTTGTTAATGTTATTGTATGCCCTCCAACAGAGGCAGTTAAAACAGGAACCCAGTTCTGACCATGATATGGGCAGTGGGTCTATAGATATTAAAGCAGGTATTTCTGGAATATGTTATTTTTGAATGTTGAAATAAAAAGGTTAATTCTTATTATTTCTGTGGCATCAATATTACAACCAAAAAAGATGTTAAATGTAACAAGGTTTGGTAGGGGTGACAACTTATTAACTTTGTGACATCATCACATCTCTAATAAGTATTTAAACTCTAAAAAAAACTGTTAAAATGTCACCAGTAACATAATGGAATATAATGTATAAAAAACTAACCAAAAATTTGAAGTATGTATACACACCCTACGGGTAGAAAGGGACTAGATTATATTGGTGTGTCCATTTTAGAAAGCCAAGAAAATGAGGAAACATGGTCGGGCTGGGCTTGGTCTTATGTTTCCTCTGTTTTGCCCGCACCATGGGACGAGGATGAATGGGATAACGAACAGCTTAAGAGTCACACAGGTCACAGCTTGCACATTGGGTGTTACGTAGACAGAGCTTCAATTACATTTAAGGTTACGGGTTAATACTTGCTTTCACAGGAAAGCAATATTTTTTTTCTTCTGCAGGTATCAGAATCTAGTTCTGAAAAAAGCTACTATTCACACAAAAAGCAAAGATACTGGCCAATGTTGATGCTAGAGCTGCAAGGAATGTACAGCGAGACAATAATCCACGGACTCAATTGGTTCAACTGTATGGGTGGTATCAGCGAAGCCACTCTTGTACCCGTCGGTTACTGCAGTTGTAGTCACGTCGAGGTGAACGAGTCGACGGTACCCTACTTAAAATTAGGCAAGTCAAATAGTTCTAAACCTCTTAGCCATGCAAGTTATTAAAAAAAAATAAAAAGGAGTTCTAGGGATCGAATTTCGTGTCTCAATTTAATGTTGCCAGTGATCCCCACAAAAATGTCAAACTGAAAAGCTATCCAAAACTAACCAAATATTAGAATATGTACCATATGATAGTTTATAAGTAGATCCGTGGTCGCAGCTAATATTTCGTTTCGGCAGTATGTCATAGAATTTACGGAGAATCTTTCGCGATTATCGATGGATACCAGAGAACAAAGAGAAATGAAAGAACATTAAGAACGGTGTCCCTTTTTCTGATTCTATGGTATCGGCACAGAACTGTGCAATTAGAATGAAAATCGGTAACTTTAAATTCGCAGGTTCACCGGCAAATTTCCACAAAACCGACTCCCTGTTTGACGCGGACGCTGTGGAAAATAAGGGTGGCAGACGCGAGTATAATACGTCGTGGGATGTACACATGACGACCAATACCGAGTCGGTATTATTGGAACGGACGCCGGCGTTCGCTTTCGATTACGTCTATCAGATGGAGCTACCCAATGACGTCGACAGCGATATTTTATCGGATTTGGGCAGCAATTATGAGTACAGGTAACTCAATCTGTCAATAGTATAAACGTGCTCGATTGAATAGTGGGAGGTTGTTACTATCAATATTAATGGCTGTAAAATAATGTAATGGTTATCAGTGGAACTCTTACCGAAAGCATTTTTGACTCGTTAAATCTTTTTAAGGTCAAAAGTTCCAGTAACGACTTTCTAAACTTCTATGTGGATTCACAGTGTTTTAGCGATTGACGTTTGCTATTTATTTAATATCTTATGACGTCACGCTGCTTTTTGGTGTAATGTCCAGTTTTGTATGCCATTTATTCTGAAAAAGCCACAAAATAGCCTATTGAAATGCCCGTAAGTGACTCACATTTTCTTAGCAATTTGCCGGAAGCGTCGAGCCTGAGACTGTGCGTCGGACCTTTCCGGCTACGCGTCTGTTCCGGGCTGTTTCATCGATTGGGAACCTTAAGAATAGCCGCTTCTTACTACGACTATTCCCCTTATTATACTCCCAAGCCGGACCTGCCTTTGGAGGAATTAGCCCCGCCTTCGGAAGAAGATTTCGACGCGCTCAACGAGTTCATACCGCAAAGGTCGATTAGAGTGACGTTTTTCGCGCCCAAGCTCGAGCTGGAGCTTATGGATCATCTCTATTTCGAGTCGACGAGAGATTGCTTGTTTAGGAGGCCAAAGGTGACATATTATTTTTTTTACCTACGGGACGTTCAAATAGTATGGCAACATGGCGAAACGTTGAAATGTTTGCCATTTATTTACGTTCCCACGACGTCACTGAAAGAAGGGCGATTATCGTCCGTTTTTATACACCTTAATGAAATCAAAATTCGACGAAAAATAACAATTTTATTTACTCTCTTATTTGTGCCACATAATTTACTATAACGGAGACTATCGAAGAGTCCGATAATTCTTTTAAATTAAGATAAAACATTAGAGATAAGGGACATGACATTTACTAACCAGTCGCACTGACTTTGATTAAGTTGACAATGGTCACTTCAGAACTCCGCCTTCCTCTTTCTAAACCCTTTGTGGCACTCTGCATGCGGCCGTTCCCACTAATATTTTCAAGTGATATCTAAATTTCGACCACCTAACATCCAGCCAACTAAATGGGGTGTCAAAAATGTGTGAGAAAAGGGTTTTTTTTCGTGACGGTACCCTAGAATGAATGCAGCGCTGGGGTTTTTGAAGATTATCGCGAATTATTAACCATGGTCTGCTATACATTCGTAATACTGAAGGCACACTTGCGCAATTGATGATTATTTAGGTACCAAAAGGAATCTAGAGAATTAAAATGTCAGACAAGAAGTTCATACTGCAATTAAGTTGCAATCTTAGGTTTGTTGTATGTTTCATTTTCATTTTAAAGTGTCTCTTATTTTAGTATCAATAGCGTTTTGTATAAATTTCTATCCATCCTTCAGTTTTTCCGAATACTGCACCCGAATTTATGATGTAAGTTTTACATAGTTGTTTAGTTGACCTATGATTAAACCTGTATATGCACAGATGAAGAATCAATAACACAAAAGAAATAGCGATACTTCCATGATGCATGGAGAACGGAGGATAACCTATCTGACGACTGACAGTTGTCAAAACTCCATGTCACGACCATGTTCGTGGTCCGTGACCGTTACATTATTTTAATTTCAATATTCGACACGAGAAAATGCAACTCTGCTCTGTTAACTGTCAGGTTATTAAAAAAATGCAGGCGAAAAGCACATGTTGCTGTACCTAGTAAAGCAGACTTAGATCTCCTCTAGCCCAGGTGTCCCAGTAAGGGCAACGAGGCCTAGAGACAATGCTGGAATGTTTTGCAGTTCCTGAAATGGCCCAAAGGGGCATGTTTAATGTTAACTCTATGTACATTGATTGCTAGCTTTTTCCTAGGCGATTGCTATTTCTTATCTGAATAAGCCATATATAAATGCAACGACTTTTTTTATATGTTTAGATCATCTAATAAGAGACCAACAAACCAGCGCCTCTGATTTTTGGGATTCTTTTGGATGGGGGATTGGATTTTCGGAGATAATTCAATCCAAACTCCTCCACAGCTAACATTGCTATTCTTCCATTAATGATTGGATTTAATCAGCTAACCAAAAATTATTTATTATTTAACTAGTGGAATATATTGAAATACTTTAATTTTTAATTTAACGCAACAAAAAATTAACAAATTTAAGTTCATTAAAGTGGTGGGCAATCGGTAGACTTAATATGTTAGTAGTTAATAAAATTAGTTAATCTTCAACAGTGAATTCAGGACCGAGTTAGTGATTAGATATTTCAAACATTCAATGTATTGTAAAAAAAGTAATTAACATAAGTAATAAAATTTTATTTTAATTTTAAATATCAATATTTGGTAACCTTCAGATAGTTAGATTATAATAGCAACCCGTAAAGTGGACATTTTTTGCAAAATCTAACTTTTTTTGAAGCGTTGAGTTTTTTATATTCTATTTTACTCTAGGATGCGATTTTCACTGGGCTACTAAGCCCTTATTTGACTATCTAATGACGTTAAACGGATGCCATTTCTTTAAGAAATATATATTTTTTTTTGGGATTAGGTAGCAACTCTCCAAAACTAAGCAATCACAATTGCTTTACTCATATCACATTGATAGCCCGATAGCCTGCAGAAAACCCTTTTTAATTACACAAGTTTATTAAAATGCCTTTTTGTGCATTTATTTAATAGATGCCCTCCTGCCCCCATCACAATTTGCCTACTCACTGTAACTATGGTTAACGTTAGAAATTTTCATAGAAACCGAGTTGATTTACATCAAATCTTTTCACCGTAGAAATTATCCACCACGGTGATGACGACAACCGAATCGACCTTGCCTAAGATCTCGGTCGAGTGTCAGTTTATCGACGTCAGCATGCGGTACCCGATGTACTCGAACCGTTTGGTTCACGTGACCTGTCAATTGCCGGAACCGCCCGATAGGTTGTTCCGGAACTGCTACACCGTTCAAAATTTTAAGATCGTCGGCTTGCTCGCACGCCTATTCGTGACGCCGAGCTGTCACAGTATAATTCTGGCGCCGTCCAGTATGTCTTACGTCGTCAGGAGGATCCTGAAGCCCCAGTACTGGACCAAAGCGGATATTCCGCACTCGGAGGTGACGTTCGAGTCTGAAAGTTTCACAGTCAATGGCACCAAAGCTAAATTGTTGGTGGTCCGTAACGTTATCGAAAGGATGTTGGCGAGGGAACCGGATCCTCCCGGGAAAAGTATTTACAGTTCTTCATTGCTGACTGACGCCGGCAAAGATTTCGGTAGGTAATGAAGATTGAACTTTTTCCACGTTTGACTGTGTTTATACACGCAAAAAAAGTTTAAAATAAAATCGAAAAGAAAATTAAAAAAATTGTTTGTGAATGAATGTTTATTGTCACTTGAAAAATTTAGGTAGATAGATTCTTTATTTGACCGCTTTATAATATAGATTATGTTTGTAACACATCTAAATACCAAACAAATGTATGCGATTAGATGAAATCTGCTATAAATGCGTATAAAAACGTAATACCTAACATATAAAAATAAGCACTATAAAAAAGAACATAAAAATTTCGAGATATACAACACAGTACATCAAGAATCATGTATCTTTAATTGTTTCTTTATATACCGCTAACGCTTCAAAAAAATTTTGCTTTAAAATTGTTAAATTATAAATTTGTGACCTGATTTTTTATTAGGTTATATAAGCTTAGGTCAAAAGAATGGTTTACGCTTCTAGCAAGAAGCAAAGTTAATCTTGGATTATCAGAGTGGCGGGATAATATTTTTGAGTTATAAATTTAAAAACTTTGGATATAATTCTGATCACCTCTTTTTTGCATATGCAAAATATTTATGGAATCTCTTGGGTTTCCCCGTAGTATAAAAATTAAATGAAAAAAAAAATCGGAATAGTGGCGTCATATTTAATAAATGTTAAACGTAGAAAACGATCGCTAGCCCATTCAGGTAGGTCAGGGCATCAGTGCATTGTATACTGAGCCTTTTAAAAACAAACTTGGTGACGGGCATGTTGGCTGACCACAGTAGAAAGTAGTATGGACTGATCGGGTGAACTTTGGTCCATAGATATTTTTTTATATTTCGTGTTTATTTTTCTGTGCGACGCTCTGAGACACTGGTGTGCTTTTAATATTAAGGTCATTTTAAGGGTATTAGTTTTTTCAGATCTCTATCTTAATGGCCGTTGACAGTGTTAAACAGCAAAACTTAATAAGTTGGTTATCTTTTTACTTAGTTTTATTTGTTATTTCCTTTTGTGCTAAACAGGTGATTTTTTTTTAAAGTTTATATTAATGCTAGTCAAATACAAAAAAAAAATTCCTAATTTTCATTGAAATTGCTTTAGTTATTTTGTTGAAATTCGGTAGAAGCTTACAATGCATAGAAATAGGGTTTTTTTCAGGTGAAAATCATTTTTCCATCAGTGCCGTCGGGAAGAGTACTGAATAGTTTTATAATGATGGTACGCCACTGTTTTTTTTTTAAATAAATTCGCTGTTATTTCACCTTTGTAATTTTTTGTTGATGTTGAAAAATTCAAAGCCTTTTTCAACATCCATTTATTTAACAAGCAGCAAAGCAAGCAAACAACTTTCTTTTTGGTAGATTATTTATCTCAACTGCTGTATTTATACGCTTTCCACATAAAGTGGGTTTTACTTTGGTTAAGGGTTAAGTTTGAATAAACTTCGCCCTGTATATATTTATATTTTTCGTACATTTATGCTTTGATTATTATGAATAAAATAGATTATTATTATTATTATGATTATTTCGTAGCTTAAATGACCTCTTGACTTCCTGTTCTTGCGAAAAAATTAAAAAGCAATAAAAATTGTAATTTAATCATTACAATTAAATTAAAAGTTAAATAAAACCTTTTTAAAATTATTTTTAACACTATGTATATCAAAAATGAAGCTACTACGGAGAATATTATTATGCAGCATCCTGCATACTACTTTTGTTTTCAATTATTTTTTTTAAGTGTGTGTTATTTGGTTAGTTTGATTTATGGCGCATAAATTCCATCTTCCCATTCCATTCGCGCAAGTATACAGCGTGATCCTCGTTAATTCCTACAAAATGCGCATTTTTACATTTAGCTGCAACAGCAGTGTCAAAATTGATTTTTATTTTGTTTTTTAAAAAAGGCACTTTGCTTAGATATTCAAAGTTTTCTTTTAAAATCAGAAATATTAATAATTTTGTTATAGTACCTTTTTAGATCTGACTGCGCTAGGATATATTGTACAATATTTCGTTGAAATTGAATTCCCCTGTAACTTAGAAAAAAAATTAGAAGTTGGAAGAATTGGCACCCCTTGCTGTAAAGTGATAACAAACCACATTTAAAGTTTGTTTGACAGGTTTTCCTTGTCTGGAACTGTGTATCGAGGGGACAAGGTTCCGCCAAGTGGATACTAGTTCCACCAAATCGATAGACGTGAGTTTGCAAATGATACAAGCCTTCATTTCGGAGTCCAGCAATTTGAGGCACAGTTACGCGAGTGTGGACAAAAATGTCGACGGAAATTTGGCCTCGACAGGTATTCAGCAGGTGCTGTTTGTATCTGGTCCCGAACCAAAAATTGGTGAAGAAAGAAAGTATGTTTTTCATTCCCTTATCTCTACTACTATTACTACATACTAGGAAAATTTAATCTTCTTAAAAAAGTTGTGTGTGGTCAAAAAACGAAAATGTAAGACATCAAATCATCAAATCGTATCAATCATTGTCCAACATTTTTGAAAAGCATCTGTTACTTAGTTATTATTCTTATTTGTGCTTCAAGGTTGGCTACATATAATTGAATGTGTGAAAAAAATTTTTTTAGATGATTGAAAGTTTTAAATGCAGATAAATTTTATTTTTAGGAAAATAAAGATTTTTTATCACTTTTCTTGAACTTCTTTTCGGAAATAAATTAATAAAGTTAAAAAAATATATTTTTTTTCAATATTTTTCTGGTTTTTAACCAGAACTAAGCATATTCATCGAAGTGAATTTCTTTTAATTTGATTTGTATTTAAAAAGTCTCCAGATTTGCGTTTTACCACAGAACTACCAAATTTTTTGTTTCTTATGTAAATTAGATATCATAAGTTAGTTTTTTTTTTCATGTAAAAATGGTCCAACTTTCCTTCTGTCACATCTATCTACTTCTTAAACAGTTTTTTTTTAGAATTAGATTTTATTTAATTGTAGAATTTCGCAACAAACAACAAAGTCTTTCTGAAAGTTTGAGGAAAAAGTGTATTATGTTATTTATGAATTAAATTGCCCATTTGTGGACGACAGATAAATTTGGAAACTTTTGTTTGAACATTTTAATTTGCTATCTACAAAAAAAATCACTCTGTCAAAAATTATTTAAGGAATGTCATTCCTCTCTCTCCATCGGAAATAAGCCGAGGTACTTTTAGTAACGAAGATTTGCCGTTGCTAACGGCCACCGTACAGTTTCCCATCGAGCCGGAAACGCAAGAACATCCTCCAGTATTAATATTCAACATCCAAGAAATTAGGATCTGCGTGGATCCCCTGTTTTGCAAATTTCTTCTCTACGCGCCGAAATACTTTACGCTAAGAAATGACATCGTTGATCCGGTTCTATCCCGTCAAAAGAGTTATATATCCGACGCTAGTGGCAGTTTGACAGAACCGACCAGAAAATTTACCCCTCGGATAGAATCCGTACATAGTAGTTCGGATAAAGAGGCGTATCAGTTGCCCAGAAAAGTCCCTACAGCAGCCGCAGATGATTCTCCAAATGTGAGTTCATTTTTTCTTGTTGAGTATTATTTTACTGACATGACTGATCATATAATTTAATTAATGCAAGTGGATGCCACCCAAATCGATATTTTGTTCTTTCCAAATGGGATAGAAGAAGGATATCCTTTCATAACCTTATCTGGTCGAATAGAATGGCTATGGTAGGAACCGGGAATCTCAGTCCAATACCCCAATATGACCAAATATATAGGCTATTTATTTGATACGTGGTACATGGTTATAGTAGCAAACTATCCAACAATACCGTTTATGTGTGTTATCGTTCTGATTCGGGTTATGTTTTGTTCACAAAACTGCGTCGATTTCAATTAATTAGTTACGAGGAGGAAAAATCTTAGTGGTTATCAGATTTACAAGATATGCTGGTTCCATCCCTGCACATTTTTTAACTCACCCGATGTAATGTATACATTCCAAAAGTGGTAGTTTATTCAGTCATAAAAAGACTATCAAATAATATTATGGGACACACTAAATTATCAGAAAAAGAAATATGTGAAAATCGCATTGCAAGGTGTAAAAGGTGGATGATCAAGTGTTTTCCAGTTCCTTTTTACCAGTTTCTGCTGCATTGCAGCTGCTGTATTAGACAGGGCGTTGTGGAGGAGCAACACCTTGCGTATGAGGCAATCAATTCAATTCAAGAGACCTCAGTGGATGATCTGACGTTCGTGTAAGAAATCTACCATCAGGGTACTCGTCCAATCTAAAAAAAAAACGTAGCCAATACTTTTACCGCAAACAATTGAGTTTTGGCTTTAACGGAATTTTCTTCACCATTCTTTCTACACTCGATACTTGCACTTGTCTCGTCACAGGTGACTTTTTTATGCATAACAGCTTCTTCCTCTATACGAGTTCAAAGCAATTAATAAATTTGAACTCATGCGGCTTATTGATCACCATTCAGGAACCCAACGTGCTGAGAATTTTCTGAAGCCCAACTAGTTTCTGATGGTTGATTGGGCACTTTCGTAGCTGACTCCAGGTTCATCCGAAACTTGAAAAGACTAGAAATACCCAATCGCCACTCTCAGCCGCTAAAGGCTCGTTTATATTTGCGCCAAATTTTGTTATCACTATTTGTTCGGGTTTCTGTTTAGGATGAATTTTTTATTTTATATTAATCAAAAATTTAAAGACCATACAATATCAGTTGTGGAATTTTTGAGTTTGAAATATTGAACGGGAAACGACGGCATGTTAAACCAGTTTTAGATCGCACGGAGAGAGATGCTCAAGTTTTTGAGCATGCGCGGTTACATTATCATTATTGGATGTCGCAAATTGATACAGGAATTTCGTTTGCAGGTTTTGAAATGCGTATTTAAAAATGGTAGGAATATAACTAAGACATATGGATCATTCTTCAATATGTCACGATACATGACGTAACTGCACTGTCTGGAGTATAGCATCTTCTTGATCGTAAATTAAAATTGCATTGTTTTTGTTTTTGTTGTATGTTTTTTTTTAACATATTCCTGACTGACATCTGACATCATTATTTGACCCCTCTGAAAGGTCCAGTGCCACGACAACCATTTTATACGAAATTTTTGGAGCAATGAGACAACGGCCGTCATTACGAATATTTTTGCCATTTGTCCCTCGACCACGACGTTCATTCATTAAATTATATGACCTCATTTCAATAACACTCTGTATATCGCCAGGTAAAGTTACAGGATCGATTTATGGGTACTCTGAAACGATGGTTCGACGTTTGGAAGGGTACTTTTATATGCGGCAACATGTCACAGTGCATTATTTATTTTCCTTTGGTGTCGTTGTCGGCGGTTGGCTCGCGCGGTATACAGGAAACTGTACAGCACGCGGTTTCTGGCGCGAACCCGCCAGATGTCATAGTGGTGACCCTACCGTTTGCCAACGTTAAGAGTGCGCAGAGGCAGAACGTTACCAAATACTTACATATGTTGCCTATATCGTTGCCGGAAAATGTTTGGACAATAGGTATGTTATCCTATATCCTAAAAGGTTTCCAAGTAATTACACATCCTTCCTAGGAATGTGTAGTTTTCCATGGACCATATCCATTTCCGAGCTGAGCTGTTACACTCTACAATCGAGACAAAAGTTGATATTCCTCAAACCGGTATCTATGAACGCAACCATAGGCCTGTCGACGCGTTCACCGAAATCTGACTCCACCCACGTCGCGTTACCCGATAGCATTGACTCGAGCAAAAGTCATAACGGCTTTTTCGGAGTCTGCGTACACATTGACATGGTACCGATCGTGTTTTCGACTTGCGAAACCCAAATCTACTTATTAGCGAGCGTCCTGTACAGCTTGCTCGAGGTGATCGGAAGTTTTTTGCCATCCAAGCCAAAAGTTTCGCAAAAAATACCGGAAATCGTACCACCGATTTTGACGAAAGGCAGCTCCACCCTGTCCCCTACTATCGTTCAGGAAAACGTAGTGGATAGTGTGAGCGATAAGTCTCCGGCACCTAGGGCGGGGCCCGCTGAAGAAGTAGACCCGGACACCGTTAAATTGACGGCTTGGATACAGTGGACCATCACTAAGGTTACGATCGAGCTCCTTGCCAACGAAGACTGTTCCGTTTCAGCTCCATCTACCGTGAAACTGGTATTGGACGCCGAGGACATAGTCAGCTCTTTGGACTTTCAAAACGTCTATTTGAAAGTGAAAAGTAAAATAGGTGGCGCATCGATACGGCAGTTCAAAAGGTAGTTAGTAAATGCAATGCAATTTCCTTGCCATATGAAAAATAGAAAAAAAATAGAGATTTTGCCCATTTTGGAATGGTTTTATAATTCCATCTATAGCAGTTTTTGCCTTTTTTTTATCTTACGGGATGTTCAAAATATGATACTACCCCATATACAATTTGGGTCACAGTTTAACCTTCTAACCTTCAACTTTGGTAGATCAACGAAAGACTCAAGTTGGGAGCTTGGGCCGTTCTCTGGCTACGTGATGCGCCTGCGCGACGAATTAATGTCGGGTCCCAGACAGGAAGAGAGCAGTTTTATAAGCGTGACGATTACTAGGGCCAGTTGTCAACACACCCATACCCTTTGGGGCGCCTTGCAGCGGAAAGAGAAAGACAAGAAGTTGCCCGGACACCAGTTATCGAACACGCGGTACATCACGGAGGTCGTCGTCAACATACAGCCCTTGGATTTCGTTTTATCGGTTCACACGTTGCGTAGTTTCTTCTACTTGGCTCTGGTGAGTTCCACTATTTTGTTGGTGGTGACTGAAAATTTGACATTTGTTTAGATTATCTAAAGTAAGACTTATTTATTTATTCGCTGGCCATGCCAATATTAAAATTATGATAGAGCAATTAAGAAATACAACAAAATCTATGTAAACTAGAGAAAAACATATAAAATCAAAAACTAGCGTTTTTCAATTTTTCAAAGAAACTTCCTCACTATTTGCAGATATTCCGGATTCGTCCTGCATCTGTTGTTGAAAAATCAAACTTGCAGACGTTTCGCCAAACTTAAAAAAGATTAACTTTTTACATAACTCCTGGATTTCTCCTGCGTCTGTTTTTGCTGACTCGAACTTGCTGACGTTTCGCCAACCATCCTGTTGGCTTCTTCAGAGCTGGACTGAAACTCTATACACCCTAACGTACGTTTTACGATTGAGTTGGAAACTACTAATAACCTTCTATTCTTAGATATTCTTATCAATAGAAAGTCAGACCTAACATTGGGTCATTGTGTTTACAGAAAACGTACACACACAGACCGATACCTTAATGCAAGGTCACATCACCAGCCTGCCCAAAAATCAACGGTTATCAACTCTCTTGTTTACAGAGCCGTAAAACTATCTCAGCCCGAGTCACTGAACCCAGAATTAAAATCCTTACCTGTGCTCTTCTCTCTAATAATTTCCACATTAAAGATATTAAGCGTTCCATCAAAAAATACACTTCACCACAACCTTCCAATGCAATGCCTACACTTGCCACTGTGCTCCTTCCATACATTCACAACATCACTGACCACATAGCAAAAGTTCTAAAGAAGTATAAAGTCAAAACCAGATTTACCACTTTTCCAAAAATCTCTCAACATCTTCGGTCCGTCAAAGAAAAAATTCCATTTGAGATGCCAGGAGTTTACAGCATTCTATTCATATGCGGCAAAAAATACATTGGAGAGACCGGACGAAAAATATCAACTAGACTCAAAAAACATGAAAGAGCGTTACAACTAAGACAAATAAAATAAAAAAAACAACAACCTAACAGTCTTAACCGCGACTCAGGTCTCTACCTGTCACCAATATGGGATTCAGTCATCCGAGACGGTGCTTATGCCCCTCATTTAGCTCCTCCCCTGCATAAAAAGGTAACAGAGTAAAATACGAGCCAGTTTCAGTCAAGCTCTGAAGAAGCCAACAGGATGATTGGCGAAACGTCAGCAAGTTCGACTCAGCAAAACCAGACGCAGGAGGAGTCCAGAAGTTTTGTAAAAAGTATTACAGTAGCCTGTGGAAGTTTCTTTGAATAATTCCAGAAGATTTATAAATAGTACTAAAATATTTCTTTACTATACAATACCTGTTAAGAAAAAAAAATGCTATTACAAACTAGAGCAAATAATTATATAGAGAGACCAGTGAGAGCTCTCACAAATGTTCTAAAGGACCCGAAGAAATAAATAGTTGTAATATATTGTTGATTCTGTGCAAGTGCTGACTAAAGTTGAGTGGTGGGGGTATTGCGGGATTGGACTACTTGTAACGCTATCTTAGAAGTCAGCAATTGATTCTAGAGTTTATTATTTTATGGATAAGTTGATCTCCCTGCTTTTGTCTATAGGAAAGAGTTGTTTTTTAAATTCTATTACTCCATTTTTTTTTAATTCAGATACCGTTGTCAGTGATGCCATTTGTCGATGACAAAACGGAACCTAGCACTACTAGCAACACTTCGTTGACCTTAAACAACCAAACTTTGCCGCTAGCGTACCTAGAGTGCCAAGACATACGTTTCATATTTCCCTCCGCGTGCCTCTCGGGCAACACGTCATCCCACGACGTCGCCATTTGTCAAATTCAGAAGATCGCGTTGAACCCCCAAGCGGTGAATCCCATCTGCCGAACCCCGATGAGACCGGACATTTACGATCAAGCTGCGCACGCACGCGTTTTGGGAATCCCCGGTAAGTGTATAGTCTGTTCGTAAATAACTCGGGAATTTATAATGGCTTCGTTCCGGAAATGTCAAAAGGTCGTATTATCGAATTGATTATTTTATTAAATATAACCCTGTACTGTAGAATACTCGCTATGGATATAAATAACACGTGGAATATAAATATTGCACATGTTGTTACTATTAATATTACTTTTTAATTTTCATTATTTTCGTGTCGTTTCTTTGAACTTTTTAATTGTTTTACGAGTTTAGTTGGTGCAGTAAGGGCGTTTTTTATTTACATAATGATGTGAGACTTTAAAATGATCACGTTTTGTCTGGCCTGTGCCAAATAATTAACAAAATTTGACATTCGTTATAATTAGTTCATTAAAAATAAATAACTATTGAAAAACTTTATTTATTTTAATGAGTGCAAATTATTTTTGAATCGAATTTCATGTCCAGTATAAAAATGTATTCCAAAGGTTGAAATGTTGGGGTTTTTAATAAATAATTGATGCGAACTTTTCAATTTCGAAATATTATTGGAAAATTATCTTCACTACGCTCCCCATTAACGTTAAGTGAACTGAAACACTCCCTTGACATTTTAATACTAGCAAGTCCATTGTACTGATTCCCTACCGGCTGTCTGCTGGTCGATGAAATCACGACGTTTAGGTTCGGAATTCTAAGGGACTTTTAAGGGTATGGGCGACAGTTTTGATGCGCGGCTGCATAGTGTCATAACACTGTGTGACTTGGACTGAGGTGACTTTTACTTGATGAAAATCCATTTAACACAATAAATAATAACTAAAAGTTCAGATTTTTACGAAATTATATATATTCACGTGACAATTGTTTCGCCACTCTCAACAGAAAATTACAACAAAGAACTTAATATAATTAAAGAAATTGCACTGAACAACGGCTATAATCCGTCCATTATCGATAAAATTGTAAATAAAAAGCAAATCCAAACAGTAAACTCTATTTATCCGAAACCTAATACAGACCACGAACAATTTTAAACAATTACATACATTGTGAAAATGTTTCAAAACATTTGCCAAAATGTGGTTTAAAAATAGCTTTCACAACTAACAACACAATGAGAAAATTTTTAAAAAACAATAAAACGAAATGTCCAAAATCTCAAAAATCAGGTGTTAACAGGTTAAAATGCGGATCTTGTCCTCAAATTTCTATTGGACAAACAGGTAGATTCTTCAAGAAACGCATTAACGAATATAAAAGAACGTTTAAAAACAATAGTCTAGATTTTAATTAAACTTAAACACACAAAAACACATTTTTGACGACAATTTTGATATTTTACATACAGCCACAAAAAGTAGAAAATTAAATTTATTGGAGGCCATGGAGATTAACAAAGTGAGACATTCAAATGTATTGCTTAACGACTAATTAGATTAAACTTAAATTCTCACAACAATATTAATTAAGGTTTTATTGTAATTTCTCGTTATATATAGTAACAGGTAGTTTGTAAATATTACATTTGATAAAGACACGGTGTTGTCGAAACAATTCTCATGTGAAAATCTAAACTTTTAGTTCTTTTAGTTCTTATTTATTGTACTGTGGGACTTGTCCAAGGCCTTTGACAAAATTATAGTTCTAGTTGGGACATATTTTTGGTTTGGTTTGTTAGTTTGTCGCGGTTGATACGACATTTAACGGTAGAATGGAAACTTTTTCTGAAACTTTGGATGCTGCTTTTGATCTACCTGAAAGAGAGTTTAGTATCAATAATCTTCTTTTAAACACAGATAAAACTCCAACAAAAATACCGGCTAACTCGTGGTTAGCGGTTATAACACTGTGAAGCTACTAGGTTTCCTTATAGATGACATACTATCAGTCTAGTCCGATATTTTTATTAAGAAGTCTTCGATCTTACATAAAGTTTGGCACCCTTAAAATGTGTAGAACCAACTTTTGTAATTCTAGGAATGATTTAAGCACTGTCACGCTGCATAAGAGTTTGAAGTATGTTTGTAATTCTTTGAATATAACTCTGTATAATGGAGCGATGAAAAAATATCTGCTTGCTCATTCTTTTTATTCAGTTATGTTGCTAGTTTTAATTTTTTTTTATTGTGGTATATGAAGTATTTTAATATTTTTTTATTCTTCTGAGTATATGAGTCTGTTTATATTTAATTGTTTGACATTTATATTCTTTTAACTTGCTATAGTGTAGCTTGTAGAAAATTTGTCAATAAATTTTATAATTTATATATTGTAGAAAAAACTCGTTGAACATTATAAAATTCTCCCAAATCATATTAAAGATCTTAGTAAAAAACAAACTTTTAATAAAATATTTTAACCATATCTTAGTCGCGTTGGCTAATAATATATTTATTATTATTTGCACAATTTACATGTTATTCCAATTGTGTTTTTGTTTATCATTTTTGTAAAACTCGCTACAGTGAAATGTAGTAAATGAATTACTTTTATCCCATTCATTTTTTGGGGTCTTTTTATTACATAAAATATACTTTTAGATAATTCTGGTGGTAGGTTTAGCACATATTTTTGAAAAGTATCATTTTTTCTTGAAAAAAATTGTGATGAGCTGTCAGCATGATTTTTTATTGAAGGCAGCGATATTGAGGACCGACAGTATCAGCTCGACGTAACAGGAATATCCATTTCTACCGGTTCGTGGGACGACATGGACTTAATTTTGTCACCGAGCAGTAAGACGTTATCCAAGCTGCGCGGTCTGAGCGAAAATCCGGCATTGGAATGGAACAATCTCGAACAAGGGCAACCCAATTTAACGCCGACCATTAATCTGAGGCATATAATCGAAAAGTCAGACTTCCGTGGTCCGATTTTGTATTAAAAGTTGCCCATCGTTTTATTTAAATTACAGATTCGATATCAGTTTGGTGGGCGCCCCTGCTATGATGTACAAAGAGAACACCGTGATATGCGGACACTCGGTGGAAATTAATTTCGTATCGGACGTCGTGGTTAACCTATCGTTGCAACAGGTCAAGCTGTTTTCCGCGCTTTCCGGCGAATTTGTCGTCCCCATCTTGCGGGAAGATCGCGCGCTGCGACAGTCCAGAATCAAATTTCCTTACTCGAGATTCGATTCCCGTCCGGATATCGATAAGGAAAAAGAAGCGACAGTTGTCGAGGGCCAGAAAGACTCCGGGATAGAAACGTCGGATATGAAGAGCATGCAGTCGTCTAAAATGCAGGTGAACAAAGCTTCGAACTAGTTTGTCTGAAAAGTAGTAGCGAAGGCAGTATCTAACAAATAGCATTTATTTCGTTTTTGTAGGGCCTTAGATAACATTAATCATATATTTTTCAAAGAAACTATCACGGGCTACACTGCACACCACAAATCTTCTGGAAGTCTCCTGCATCGGTTGTTTAAAACCGAGTTTTAAGGTATGCTCTGAAGAGGGTAACAGGAAGATTAGCGAAACGTCAGCAACTTTGATTTATAAACAACCGATGCAGGAGGAATCCAAAAGATTTGTAAATAGTATTAACTATTTATTTATCATTTATTTATCCGTGTGGTTATTTTGAAAATTTTTTGTTGATTTTATCATTTTGAAGGGGTTTTGCTCAGAAAGTTTTACTGGTAATATAGACTTGAAGTTTATAGCATAGGGCATAACTTAACCCTCATAGGGCAACAGGTGATACTATAAATCAAAATAGAAAGATTTGTCATCAAGGGTGTGTGTTTGGAGGTTCCATATAGCACAAGTGATTGAATGTATACTTATATGTTAATCACACAGATCAACTCCTGTAATAAGAATATGTATGTGTTCCTTAGATACCAAAAATAAATAAATCGTCGTTAAGGGTTAAAAATGAAACTTAATTTTGAAAAATTGCAATCGTTTTAAAACGGATTCAGATATAATAACAACAATTAGCGTTGGGGAATTAATCGGTCAAATTTTGTTGTGCCGACTGACCGAAATAATTTTAAAAATACAACGAAATTTATATTTATTCCCCGAATCGTTATTATTATAAAATACGTATTATTATTAATATAGATAGATAGCACTCTATCTATCTCAAGTTCTAATTAAAACATTTTGATCGAAATAAGAAGTGATCAATTGGCCAGTCCCAATTTATTGATAAAAAAACAAAAAACAAAAAAGTATGTTACCTAATGGTTTAGGCGAATTTCAGTTTAGCCACGAATAAATCAATATATCGGTTCCCAGCTATTTATTGCGCTAGCTGACTTAAAAACAAGGCATCAAAATTATGTTATTTATAAAGAAGAATCACTCATATGAAAATTACATTAAGAAAGAAACAAAGTCTCATTATATGAAGAATAGTAAGTGAATAATTTAAAGGCTTACTGATCTTACTATATGACATGTTTACTCTACTTTTTGCTATTTCAAATGAAAATTAGATGAATGCTTGGGAACCGCGAATCATATGTCGAAATGTTTTAAATATTCAGATATCAAATTTTAAATTATAGTACTATTATAAAAAAGTGTTAGTCTTTATATATAATTATTTTTTTAACGTGTAAAGTTGAGACAGTGGTGACTTTATAGTAGGAAACCAAAAATGTCACAAACTGTGCCATGAATGTTTTCATATTAATTGACTTAGTTCATTACTTTCGTCGATGACTTAAATACTCGAAATTTTTCGAAAATTAAGCTTTAACCACTAAAATTTGCGACATTTATTATTTTATTTTCATGTATTCTACTGTTCTATAGTAGTAGTAGTACATATAGGTTTCAAATCCCAAGAGAGTAATTTTTAAATCAGTGACTTCAATGTGGTTATGTTTAAAACAATTTTTTGGAGCATTAATGTATCTTCTTATGGTATATTTAAATTTTATTTTCTTAGCTAAGCTTTATTAGCCGCAACTATTTCCATCCATAAATAAATCGATTTAAATGAAAAGAAGTCATTGTCTACTAGACAAAGTTGACATTAATTTTGTTGCCTCGCCATTTTCTTTGTTACTTTGCTCTACAATAGATTCAATTGTTTATCGACAACATTTAAAGTTAGTGAAAACTGTTTTCTAAATGCTCTATTGAATGGTGGTAATTTTTATCCCTTTCAGCATTCCGGTGTTAGTGTTAAGCGTTCGGTCGGAACCGACAAACCCTGCGGGTTCCCAAGGCCGTCGGTACCGTACGTACCGATGGTACCAGTGGAGGTGGTCTTCACCGCCGGTAAAATTGGTGTCGCCCTACACCAGGCCAACGAAAACAAACCCACCAGTGCCAAGCATAAGGGAAAAAGGAAAAAAGCTGCCCGGAAGGTAAGCATTGAATTCTATTAAGGATCATTTGAACTACTTCTCGGGTGGCGGAGGACATTTGAAGGAATTGTTTGTCATTGCGAAGTGGAAGACATTTACGCCGACTACTATCCATAATCAGTTGAAAAGATTGAAAGATTCCTTAAAAATTTCTTTAAAATCGTGTTATAGAAATTAACAAGGGAGAATGGATTCTGTGGCAAAAAAAAATTGTATGGTGTTATCGTTTTTAATATATTTAAAATGGAGAATAGTGCACCAATAAGTAGTGCGACTATTACATTTCACTATTATACCTCTTCCCTTTCGTCGTTACAAACCTAAAAGGGGTCCATTTGAATAAACATATCTCTTCCAAAATGAAATTTGAGTTGAAATTGAAGTTTGTTTTTAACATAATCCAATAACTAGTATACATTTTTTAGTGACTTTTTCGATTTTTCCTAGATTCCTAGAGAACTCTGATCTCGAGAAATTGACGCTAGATTCAATTAGAAAGGTTAATTTCACTTCTGACAGACAGTTATTTGCTAAAAAAGGTTTGAAAGTAGAAAATTCTTATGAAAAAAGACAGTTGTTTTCAGTAGATTTAATATTCTAGCCCATCCGATGAAACAGGAGAAAGTAAGTTCTTAAAAAAAAGCTTACAGATTTAGGTTCACAAACAGGTTGATTACTTTCCAACAATTTTTATTTCAGAAACACATGTTAAATCTTTTTCGATAATACACTTTCTAGTAATTACGAAAATAAACTGTCTGAGTGTTATTGGCACTTATATTGTCTTCATACGAGACGTGTTCAAAAAGTAAGGCGACTTGCAATTGGGCGGGCTACAATATTTTTTTGTTATTAACGAGTCTAGTGTATCTCAGAAGATGCTCCCGCCCAAATGTAGAAAACACTATTCTATTGAGACTAAGACTCGTTTTAATTTCATTAATTTATTGATAAATCATATTCATTTTTAAGCTTAGTTGTCTTAAACAGTACCTTCCGCCTGTTATATTTGATTTGGCATGGATAATGTGTTATGCGGTTTTATGTAATTTTGACTAGCTCCATCTCTATCAATGGCTTCTGGCTCTAATGCCCAAACTGCGCATTGAATACATAGCAAGGATCATATGTATTGATGGTTCATTGCTTTCATCTCATTTTCAATTCGTAAAATGTCTTAACCGATTGGACATTGAGCGTGCGGCGTTTTTTCAGACGGACGAAGACCAGGGCTACGAAGCGTCCGAAGAGAGCGTGGACGAGAAAAGCGACACGTGCAAAAAATTTATGCCGCTGGTGTTTCTATCGTTCACGCAGCCGAACGCGTTCTTCGTCAAACAACAACTGGGCAGGAGGTTGCAGGTGACGTGTTTCGATTTCAACCTCAAAATAAGCGGACCCGAGTATCTCCCCGTGAACCACCTACCGCACGAGGACGACTACCCTATCAGTCTGCTGGAAACACGACCCGGCAGCCCTAACCCAACCAACGGCACTTTGCCGTCATTTTTCACCGTCAAGTATTCCAAGGGTGTCGGGAAAACCTCGAAATTGGAGCTAAACGTGTTGAAACCGACCAAGGTGTTGTGCAAACCGACCGAATGGAAGCACATGCTTTCCGTAAACGATAGGGTGGGGGAGATATTTAGGAAGAGTAGCACCGAGTCGGTTTTGAGTGCCCCGGCTTCGAGCGTTCCAGAAAACAAACCGGGGGAGACTAACGGCAAGTTTCACGAGATCAAGGAGTTGCTACGAGGCGTCAACAGCATCGCCATTAGATCGGATCAGATTATTTTCGCGCTCAAGTCAGATTCGGATCACGAGGTTCATCTAGGCGTGCAAAGCCTCAACAGCGAACTGTCACTTTCCAGCAGGCCGGAAAAGCTGAACTTAGCTACGACCTTCGAGAGTCTAACCGTCACGGTACGTCTCGGAGACTTCAGGAAACTGCTGCTCAACCCGTGGACGATCTCGTTCGTCGTTTGCGTATTCTGGGAGAGTTGGCAGAGTGAGGATAGCGATCCTCAGTTGCAAGTCGTCGCCGAAAGCGACTCTATCGTCGTAGACGTCGCACCGGAGCAGTTGGAAGTGGTGGACGCCGTTACCAAAGACTTGCTGGAGTTTGCGCGCGGTTTGTCGTCGAAGAAGTCGCGCGACTCGATCCTGGAGGAGGAGTGCAGATGTCCGGAAAAGGATCAACACTACAAGGACGATTTGAGGGCCGGAGCTTTCCAGTTCGTCGATTCGTACGGTGATAGCTCGGAGGAAACACCATTGCCTTATCAGGTATAAATAAATCAGTGTCTAAATTAAAATTACAAATTAAAAGCGTTAAAAATTGAAAATGAAACTATTGAAGCATTCGAGTTTTAAGTATATGTCCATTTCCAATTGCAGACAATACTTCGAAGGTTTTTATAACGTTTTAATGAGGCCCTTAATATAATTGATTATTTTATTATATTATAATTCCATGAGCTTTTATAACGATTTTTATCATTTAAAAAAATCTTTGTTGTTACCAGTTTTGTAAGACGTTCCATACAGTGAAAGCTTTATGATATTACATCCAAAAAGTGTCCAGTCCCATGTGCTTGAAATGACCGTTAAAGACGGTACTGTGTTCCCAATTTTTTTCGTTTGCGCAATTTTAAAAGTAATGTTTAGTTTGCTTGGAAATTTTATCTAAATCTTTATGAAAAATTAAGGACACTTTCAAGAACAAGTAAATAAGCAACAACTGAACAGTGAGGTTACGATTGCATAGTTGACATTTGACATTTAGGCACTAACATAACATGCTGCTTACGTGGCGGCCATTGTTATGTTTCCTCGACATAAATTCCTTCATATTAAGACATTTAAATTAACCAACTTTAGAGTAAAAACAAAACACGAAATAATATGTAATAAAGAAATGATGTTGGAAAAAGGGGCGTTTTGTTGTTGAGGATTAAAATTTATAAGATTGTCCATTTAAGTGCTATTGACAATTGATAGGTTCTTAAGTTTTATAAAATTTGCAAATGAGGGGGATCTTCCATAATTGAGGACAGCAGAATTGCAATATATATGTTTTTTAAATTTTATCAGATAGTCTATCGCTCAACGTCCTAATTACAGCACTAGTCATGTTTAGTTTTGATAGAAGTCTGTTAGTTGTTTTTCCCAGCTTAGGATTTGACTTAGTTAGACTCCGAAAAGTTTACATTTACAAGTTCAATGATTCAAGTTTATTTTTTTTTCACAACGTGCTTGTTTTGTTCCAATGAATAAGTCGATCCGCTATTACCCCAGATTCATAAGACGAAAATCCCAAAAAAACAACCCGGTGATTTTGGATTGCGTTATGGGGACCGTGAGATATTTGCCAATCTGAGAAAAATCTACTTTCCACGGAGATAGAATAATTAAATATTGTCATGGCGTTGAAAGAAAAATAAATTATGTAATTAATAAAATCAGCGGGTTTTTTCTTCCCTATCGAAATAAAAACCACGGACGGATTTTCATTTCTTTTAAACATTTTAAGGACTGAAAGAAGACGATATGAAATGAAAAAAGAAAACCTCTAAGAATGTTTTTAACTATAAAGAGGACATTTGATTCTGTTGCGATTCCATTTTCTTTAAGTTTTTTCATTTTCAAATTTTCATTTGACATTCGACTGGGTGATTTCGTTGCAGTAGCAGTTTCATTGAGATTGAGTGACTGGTGGAATAGCGCAAAATAATATACCTACTTCACCGCGCTTTGAAGTTTATGCGCCAACCCCATTCACTTGACTATACATGCATGTAATAGAAAAGCATGTAACTTCCATTTGTATGCAGATTAAGTTGGGTCTGGTGCAGTCAAGCCTGAGATTGTTACGCTTGATTCTAGGGTTATCAGATTGTAGGTATTTCCACACTTGGAATACAGTTTCCTTAAATTTGTGTTTTTTCCAATGAGGTTCTTTGTGGAAAACCTAAGCTTCGGACCATGTTGTTTGGATTTCACCCCTGATTGTGTGTCTCCTATGCTCTTCAATTCTGACGTTTAAAGGTCGTTTTATTTCTTCAATGTATAAATTTCCATATTCACAGGGTATTTGTTAGATACTCTCTTTCTCTTGAGTCGATTTTTCTGGCTTTGTTCTTGTATGTATGCTCCTCAATGTCGTTCTGTACTTGAATACAGTCTTAACCTTGTATTGTTTCACTATTCGACTGGTCTTTTATGAGATTTCCTTGAGGTATGTGATCGTCAATAGAGAGAAAGAGATCTACCTCACAAATCTACACTCACATCATTCTGCTGTTACTTTCTGTTTACAATTTGATATTATTTTGTCAATACATTCTACATCGAATGATGCAGAGCGTTTGAATGATTGCTGATTTGGCTGCCCCAGAAACGGACTCGAAGTTTAAATACTGCCTAATATGTGTAGGTTTCCTATATATAGTGACGGCAGATCTATTATTTCTACTTAATTGGCAGCCATTTTTTTCTTTCTCAATTGTAAATTTAATGGAAGGAAGGCGGGAATGTCAGAACATGTATTGACCAAATACCACAACATAAAATGGTACGGGTTTATGGAAGCTGTATTCATTAAAAACAATGCAAACATCTATACCAATCCAAGCGTGGAAATGCCTTAACAGAGCGCACCAATGTTGACTTCCTAGAATAACGTCAAGCTTGACTGCACCCCATTCCGAATATTACAGTCTACTATATAAGCCTCGTAGAATTAAAATATAGGCAATAAAAGGAAGTTCAATAATCTCTTAGTATTTCTTCCGTTATTACAGGTAATGTTTTGGACGAAGACCGCTCCGACGATGGCTTGGAAATACCCTCAGCCTAGAGCGTTAACAAAAGTACGGGTGTTCCCCGTACCGTACAAAACGGCGTTGGGGTCCCAAGAAAACCATTCGGCACTCTGCCATTTGGAGTACTGGTCGGAGAGCCGGAACTGTTACCTGCCTTACACCGAGTTTTTCTTGTCGGAAAGCGAGGTGTGCCATTTAAATTTACCCGAAAGTCGCCCCAAATCTGTTGTCGCGTCACTCTGGAGGGTAGTGATTACGACCGACTCTACCAACGCAACGATTTCCCCGCGCGCATTGGCCGCGTGCATGAGGATCGATTCGTACTTCAATAAGACCCTAATACCCAATATAAACGTGGCCCTGTACGTAACCAAGATCGATATTTGTTTATATAACCATTTTTCCAAGCCGGCGTCCGTTCGATTGCCGGAATGCCTCAAACGCTATTCGTCCGATCTCGCTTTCCCGGAAAACCAAAAGTTTTTCACCCTCTCCCTCGACTCGTTATCCGGACAACTTTCCGTGTGGGATCTGCGAACGTTTTCCGGCGAAGTGAGCTGCTCGATCCAGGCCAACGTTTTGGACTACAACTTTCTTACCGATCAAGTTCTCGTTCCGCCTTTCACGTCCAAGCTTGAAATTTGCCTGTCCGAAGGGTTATCTTGCAACTTTATCTCGAGACCCGTCCGAGTGAAATTCGGGCCGAGTATCGCGCACACTTTAGCCGTCAGCACTCAAGTTTGGAATCGGAGTTCCGATCCGGACTTCGTCGTAGTTACCAGATTCGTTATATGCAACAACACCAACGTTATCGTGAGGTTCGGGCAGCAAGGGACCGGCGAGAACGTTCTTCTTCCGCCGCGTTATTTTCACCTGTACGCTTGGCGGTCTCAGAAGAAACGGCAACAGCTCAAGTTGTCTTTGGAAGAAACCGACTGGCTTTGGTCCGAGCCGTTTTCGATATCGGAAGACGGGCTTCGAGCCGTACACTTCGATGCCCCGAAAAATATCACGGTATTCGCATCCGTGAAGTCGTTGTCCAAGACCCAGAAGCGAGTGACCCTCTCTGGTCAGCTCGTAGTTTACAACTTATTGTCCGAGCACTTTGAAATGAAGGTGGCGGAATCCGTAACGGAAAACAAAGATTTCGAGTTGAAAAACGCTCAGGTGCATATCGCCAGCGCTAAATGCGCTGCGCCCTCTATCTTCGTCGACGACTCCAAAAAATACTTTTTGCGGTTGAGGTTTTACGGGCTGGAGTCGGCGTGGACGGGCGATATACCGCTGAGGGAACACTTGACCGGTTCCCAGCCTTGGCTGGTGAAGGTCCCGCTCCAGGAACGCGGGCAGTTTTTGAGCATTTGGTGCAGGATCGTCGTCCAAGAGTATCAAGGTTGTAAGAGGGTGTTGGCCATGTTGTGGCCGTTGTTCATGGTCAAGTCGAATCTGCCGGTTAACACTAAAGTCCACATCGAGACTCCAACGTTAGGGGTGCATCTCGAGTCGGACGTTCAAGGTAGAGGAACGCTGCAACAGTTGTACTGTCCGGGGACTATAGATCACTCCCACCAACTGGTATTTAAGTTAGAAGGTTAGTCGCTGACGAAGCACTTGGCTTTTAAGTTTTACATTTATAACATCCAATTAAATTTGGTAATAAGTGCTAAAAGTATCATATTTAAAATTTTCTAGCAAGAAAGTGTGCTCTTTAATAAAATTACAACTACTGAGACCTTAAGAATGTTTAAATAATTCAATTTTTAACAAAACAAAAAAAAAACAAAACTAAAAACAACTCTCTAAGATATTACGAAAATGATGGAATTGGATGAATTTATTTTCAAGTGCCTATAAAAGCCGCTAGAGGGCGAAAATTCAATGGCGAAAAAGAAAACGACGAAGTTTATAATGGGGGTATTAGAAATATGCAGTGAATGGCTGAAATGTGGACCAAAATTTATTTTAAAATCCAGTGGAGTAATATCTGGAGATCTTGCATTCTGTTGGTATATTAATACTCACGCACTTGTCAAGCAAAATGGGGCGGAGCACCATCTTGTTGAAACGAAATCTGTCTATATTGCACATTAGGCTGATTTGGATTTGGGAAAGAAATTGTAAAAATGGGGCTAAAGGAAGATTTAATCGAATAAATAAGGTGCAAAAACTTGGTTATTCAAAATTCAAAACCAGTACCAATACCTACAATTTTATTTACCGCACTATTAGAAAAAAAAACTTTATCACGAAACTGTATCTGACGATGGAAAATGGATTTAGGTCGCACATGTCCATAACAGTCTGACAAAACTGTTCAGCGGCTGTAGTACTGTAATGTTGTACGGATTATCTTTTTCTTCTTTTAATACCCACAAAGTTGTATGTTGGATAACATCATTATTTGAAGCTACTTCAGAAGATACATGATGGGGATCACCCTCAACTTGTAATAAAATGTTTAATCTTGTATTCTCCCTAGTTTTTGGTCGACCTGGCCTGGCCTATATTATTTCTCTCAATTTTACTCACTGTTGGCCTTGTAATGCGTTAAGCAAATAACAAACTTCTTGAGTTTTGATCATTTTAAAATTAAAATTCTATTTTTTATTCTTTTGCTCATAAAAAGTAAAAGATAGGTTTAGGGTTTGCATTAATTATGCGTCACATTTGACGCAGAATTTAAAAAAAGGAACTTGGTAGCAGCCTCTCCGTTTTGAGAGCATCCCTCTTCGAATGACCTGACTTTTAAATAAATTTGTTTCATATTTATTCTACAATATACAATGGTCAGCAAATTTCGGGTGTTTTTTTTTAACTATTTTGTCTTGCCTTAAAATAAAGCGGATATATGTTTATTTAAATGTTAATAACTTCAGATTGGGTTATCGGAATTAAACGAGCGAGAAGTTCGCTTGAAAGTTCATTACTCTATATTCTACATTACACCCGACAATAGGGGCGCTGTCTTATAACTTAACAAGCATTATAAATTTTTTTTTTAAATGTCACCAAAACCAACATCAGCAGATATCTTTTTCCATACCGATGATACGTGCAAAAATAGTAATAAATACGAAAAAATAAGCTAGCTTAGCTAACTAATTTTTAAAACTACATGAATCAAACAAAAAAAAAATCAATTTCCAGAATATTACAATGCATTTTTTTAGCTACCCTGTACACAACTTACAAAAACTTGAAAATAATTCTCAGCCTTTTGGGTAATAATTTTCTTTTCCGCATGCGCTAATACTAGAAAGACAGCTACATGCTTAATCAAATACAATAGACCCTTAGTTTAATCTTTTTAAAGCAGACATTTTACTAAATAACAAAAAATTTACAGTATATGACGGAGTGAATTATAAACAAAATAAGGGTATTCTTATCTCTTTTAGAATATGATTACAATTTGGTCTACCATAATACCTAACAATATTCCAAAAGCGAACATCTACCAACTTCTTTCAATGTCATCATGTAGGAATGAAACTTATTTTTCTCTGTAACGATCTAGGCGCGTCGACCGACAGCCTTAACCCTTACGTCCCTCTAAACTACAGCCTGGTCGATCATCAAAAATTCTTCAAAAAACCGCCCAAAGAAGACATCGACACCATTTTGGAAACGTTGAGTCAATTGGAGGAATTGAAATGGCCGTATTTCGGCGAAGATTTTGACCACGTCGATTGGATCACCGACCACCAACCGTTATCCCACATCCAAGTCAAGTACCGTAACGCGGGACCTTATTCTTGCTCGCTGCTCGTAGAATTGATTCCCTGGTGCCTTATGGGGAATACTTTGGGCACGTCCGTAGCTCTGATGCTGAACGGGGTCGAATTGTGTCGAGTGCGCCACCACGGCATGGTGGCGCCCCCCAAGTTAGAGGAAAATTTCCACGTTGGTATTTGTACCGGGTACAATTGGTTCTTCTCGGGACCGTTACAGTTGGCGCGTTCGGATTGGACTCAGTCTTTCTACATGCCAAAAATTACCGGTAAGTGATGGGAGATTATTACTGCCAATTCAAAAAGGTTCAAATTCCGCTACATTTCACAGGAATATGAAGTATTTATAATTGACTTTATCCAATTAACGGCAAATGTCAAATATCAAATTTATTAGCCCAGAAAGAAGCAAGCAAAAATTAAACAAAAACACAATAATAAAAAGAAACTTTTAAAATGCTTATAATTTAGCCACTCCCCGGACCTATTATTAAGTTAATAGAAACTTTAATTATCAACTTTATTCCAAATAAAATTTTTGTTTAGTGTGGGTTTCCCCTATGAATATATGGTGGGATACAAGTCGTTTCAGGGTCGGTAGTAGGAATATCCTGTTGCTACGCCACCCCTCTTCTACCTGGGAGATCTTGAGATAATCGAATTACAGATTCCTATAGTTTCTCTGTTTAGTTAGTAGTGGCACTACGTAACTTCTACATCCTCCATCAGTAATAACAGATTCCTGTGCTTTATTTGGTTAGTTAGGAATCTGTAATTTCGTTATAAGAAAATCAACTAATTTTCTGGATTTCTAAGTTTCCCACTACCCATTAAATTAAAGCTAGTATTAACTGGGGATGTAGAAGTTAGATATATCAATAACTATAGTCATTTCAGCTATTCGGCCATAAGAATCATTTTTATTTGTTTTAGGCACCATCCCTATTGAAGGTACCACCAAGACCTGCATAAAGTGCGATTCTCACTTATGCATGGTGTTGATAACTAGTTCCCTTGCAAATGAAATGAGACTGTTGCGGTTCTCGTCTACTCACATCCTATCTAATTACTTGTCGACACAGATTCAAGTGATATGTTTAGCCGTGCCCGACGAAAAATCAATTTTTAAAATACCCAGCAACGTCGACAACTTTTGCTTCACTCTAGCCCCCCATTTGCAAAAAAAGTAAGTGCTTTATTACTGCCAAGTAGCGATAATAATACTTAAATGTCGTTATTTGGATTAATTTTCAGCCAGTGTGGTATACCGATAATAAAGTGGTACACTCTGAAACAAGATGGCGACTCGACCAACTCCGAATACACGCTTTACATCGCGTTTTCATTGGACCAAGACCTGGGATGGTCTTGTCCAATTAGAGTGGATAAAACACTCATTCGCAAGTCAACGGCGATTATGTCACATGATGTTTCCGTGAGTAATAAGTGGAGAATCAAATAAACGTGGGTTCTTATTGTTAACATTGAGAAATAATCATTACTTAACGATTACAATCCATATTTTCTGTGGTTAAAACATAAAAAAAATTAAAATCTATAAATGGGAAACGGTTTTAGGTTCCTGTAGTTCTAACATCTCAAGAAATAAAAGGCCAAATCTATATGGCCATCCAATACGACCCGAGACCTCAGCTCTACATCGAAAACAGAACAGCGGTTTCGTTTTATTGCGGTCAAGCTTTCCCCGACGACAGTGGCGTCACCAAAGAATCAGAACATTTTAGGTGGCACTGTCGTGCGCGAGGCAACAGTTCGGTGTACTACACCATGCCCGTTCTGTCTGAGAAATTTCCCGAACTGCCTCAAGTCAATTATCAGGAAAAACTTTCTCTAGCCTTCGACGATGATGACGAAAGTGAGTCGCTACATTCCAAAACGGTCTCTTTCTAACGCCTCTATCCGTTTCTAGCTGACGTCGTTGAGTTGGAATGGTCAGCCGGCGTCAATATTGCCAATAACAATAGTATTTTCGTCAGGGTGCCACATTTCGGAGACGTTAAAGTCACAGTTGTCAACACCGCTTGCACAACAGTATTTAAAATCGAGTCAGTTAGTCAGGTGAGCGCTCCATGAAGTTATGACATTTCGAAAAAATCTGGCAGTCAAACACTTCTCAGGTTGAGATCAGCGCTAAAGATATACGTGTGAGACTGTCAATGCGTGAAAAAGAAACAGGAACAAGTCAGCTCGCGTCTGGAGGACCGCAGGTTTCCAGGCAATCTTCCTCTTCCTCGGCAGTCGGCACTGATGAATCGGACCTGGAGAATCAGATTTCCAAAGACCTGTCTTCGCTTTTGGAAACAGAGTCCCTGCTTGTGCGTACCATTCCTCTGCAACAAGGATGGAAATTTTTAAAACTAAACGTGTTCGTCGAATCGTTCGTGTTGACTCTAATGTCAGACCTCGAGAATTACGGGGAAGAGAGATGGGAGTTGGCGAGCTTGGTGTGCGACGACGTATTGGTGAATGCTGTTCAAACTGAGGTAAATATTGTGATAACTATTTTGTATTACTCGTTAGCGACGTTGCCTTTCAGCAATTGCACATGCAAATTTCCATTTCGGACCTTCAACTTGACAACCAGCTCTACTCGAGGGAGTCTTACGATTTCCCGGTAGTGTTAGTTGGTCAAGAACGTAAGGGCTTAAAAAAATTGAACATTCTAAATGTCCCGATCGAGACTCTGACCGAGTCCGTCGGACGGAGTGCGCTAGTTTCTGCGGATATTGTGTTTGATACGTGGAGAAACCAATCGGCAAACTTAAACTTTACAGGTAAAATTTCGAAGTATCTTGCTTTTGAACTGTTTTTAATCAAAAAATTGTTTTTCGATTTTGCCAGGCATAAAGACGTTTAAACTGTCGCTCGACCCCATAAGTTGTTTCATCGAAGACATTTACATCACTAGATTGCTAGAGTACTTCAAAATTCTAAGCCCTGTTCACCTGGTGTTGTGGCCGGTCGGTCGGAACCACGTCAAATTAGGAACAAGCGCGACATCCGTGAACGTTCCGGAAATAGTATCGTGGCAGTGCGCCATCTTGTCGCACCCGCTCACCGTGAGAAACTTCGCGGTCGGTCCGATCTCGCTCCTACTCTCGGTTCATTGTTCCGTTAAATTGTATATCGCTTTGGATCAGTCGCCGTTACAGTTTGGAAAGTTCGAACGCAGGAGATTATTCAGTACGCATTATAGGTATCCCAAAAGAATTATGTCCTTCGGTATTGGCACCCTGTATAATGTGACTCCACAGATTGGGTCATGCTTTAACCATGCACTACCTCTCGGGTGCAATATTCGGCGCGGGTTGGGTAGTTAGTTCATTAGAACTACTGGGCAGTCCTGGAGGACTAGCTAGAGCTATGGGCACGGGACTACGAGACTTCGTCAGTTTGCCCTATAGGGGACTGGTTCAGGGACCCCTAGCTTTTTTAAAAGGTTAAACTGGTGATTTGCACTGTCGCGGTATAATGATTTGCGAATTAGGTATCACTCATGGTTCCGCTTCCCTGATGAAGCACGTTACCGCCGGCACCCTCCAATCGGTAACGAAACTTGCGTCCAGCGTCGCCAGGAACTTGGACAGACTTACCCTGGACGAGGAGCATCAGAAAAGAACGGAAGAACAGCGACGGCAAAGACCGCAGGGCGTAACTCAAGGTTTTTTGCAGGTATACCGCTACGTTTCCTGCTAGTGAAATGTTTCAAGGTCATTTGTGTCGCAGGGTATGACGAGTTTCGGGATCAGCCTGCTGGGGGCAGTAGGAGGTATAGCGCATCATCCTCTGCAGTCGATGATGGCCGACGGAGCGTCGCCCAGGTCTTTGGTGGCCGGCGTTGGACTTGGGCTTGTCGGCGTTTTTACCAAACCCCTTAGTGGAGCTGCCGAGCTTGTCGCTCTTACTGGTCAAGGTAGGATAAGGATTTAGGCGACACCCATCTAAGTATTCACTCCTCCATCAGACTCAGTCATTCTATATAGGCAGCAAACTTATTGAGATCTTAAGTCAGAAGGTTTCGGCAACCAGTTTTGAATTCCTGATTCTTCCTACCGCCAGGCATCAACAAACAGGATGTGCTCTGCCGCTTCCTCATTTTCAGATTTGATCTGTCAAGGTAGGATAAGTCATCCTATAGGGAGTAAACCTATTGAGATCTTAAGTCAGCATGTGCTATGCTGCTTCCTCATTTTCAGATTTTATTTGTTCATTGACAAAAGAATGTCCCTTGCCGATTGGCGTGATGTAGTCAACATAGGCTTCGGACCTTCTGATGGCGTCTATGACAACTCAGTCCACTATGCCCTGGTATCCAAAACAGTTGACTGTTTCTTTCATTCTTTGAGGCCCATTAGGATGTTTTTACCGCCTTCAGTGCCGCTTGGCTGTCCGCAAAACTTTTCAATTTTTTTCAAACACAAGTTGCTTCCTTTGCAGAAGCTTATGCAGATCTGTGGTCAAGGTAACTGACTTCTTTTTTATATAATTTCCTTTTCCAGCGTTTTGCATTGACATTGACCAAGCAAAGTTTTCTGCAATGTGACCACGCTATACCATGTTTCCAAAAAGTGGTGTAATATTTAGAGAATTCTGTTCTATAACTTATAACACCAACTTTTCTAATGAAACACTCACATTTACTCTTATCATACTTTCGTTTTAACGTATTTTTTCTACTTTCTGCTCTAAAATACATAATTCGAGTGTTTCCGCTAGGGATGGAAAGAACCTTTTTTTATGACCGTGAATGACCCGATGATTGATATACTATGCTTGCGATTCTAGCGTTTTTCAAAATTATGCCGATCACCTGTAAACCGAATGAACTGGTCACAAGACAAATCAGGAAATATACGACGAAATGGTAGTTTTATATATATTAAAAGTAAAAATAATTCAAAATTTTGTTTTATGTTAAATATATAAAAATAGAAACTTAATTCCTATAGAAATGTACAGATATTTAAAAACCTAGAAAGTAAATATTCAATTATTATAGTTATAAATCGGGGATCTATTAAAACATTCTTTGTGAGGGGACAATGTGACAATGTGACAATTCCTACATCTTAGGGTATAAGTGATATCTTCTTTCTTTTTTCCTTGACTGCAATGATTCTTCAGGATATTTACAATTGCCGCAGTTCGTGGACTAACCTTTTCACTTTTTTGTCAAATTTCCTCCAAATATAATCTGATTTTTCTGCTCTGTTAAAGATTCCGCATTTGTTTGCAAAAGAATCATAACTTTAACTTGTTCAATTAAAGATTCCGTAGTTTTAACAAAACTGTGTCTTTTAAAGCGAGGTTTCATTATAGTTACCTCCGCGAATAGTTTATTTTCTTCAACATAATTAAAACGGCTATTTAAATGTTTTAACAAATTTTCTGTTAAGTGTCTTACGTTGTCTGCTATTTAAATAATTTGAGCATTGCATCTCTTCCATTACGTTCTTAGACATCTTGAGCACATCACATATTTCCTGAATTATTATAATATTGCTTTTTTTTTCAAAAAAACTTCCACAGGCTACTGTAATACTTTTCGCAAAACTTCTGGATTCCACCTGCGTCAGTTTTTGTTTGTTTGAAACTGTTTCAGTTACCGACGCAGGAGGAATGCAGAAAATTTGCGAATAGTGTGTCTATGAAAAAAATATTGTCTTCCTCTAACAACATTGTCTAACAAATCATCATACGCTATTTTTATGTTAGCTTCTGCAGGGGCAAAATGAAAAATATCGCTATTATCTGTATTTGTAAGGTTTATTGTGCATAATTAGATATTTCAGTATAATAAGATTAAAGTTGGATTCATGACAAATTTTATGAATCTTTTTTAGCGATTACAACGCCATCTACCTAGAATAAAATTCAAAACGTCATTAAATATTAAAAGCATTTTTTGTTTTTTGATGATCATGTAATTCTCGAGATATGCCAATGTTTAATTGCAAAAAGTAACCGACTCGTAGAAAATTTTGCATAATTGAGTATTTCAATAGAGTTAGAAAAACATATTAAAACGGAGATATGAAAAGACTAAACTTAGATTCATGGCAAATTTTGAGAATCTTTTTTTGCTATTACAGCGCCACCTACCGAGAATCAAATTCAAAACTTCATTAAATGCTTATTTATTATCGTAATTCTCGAGATATGCCAACGTTTAATTACTTTTTGTATATATTGTAGCGTATTATTCTAGGACTTCTACAAGGGGCCGGCTGGAATTCTCTGCCCGATCCTAGATATCCGTCGCAAATTTTCAAAATAAATTTGGCGAACAACTCCAGTTTGAAATACCTTTGGAAACTGACCAGTCTGCCTCAACACCAAGTGCTCTACGTGACGGAAGCGACGCGAATATCATCTTCTGGAGTTTATTCGGCCGTAGCGCTGGTATTGACGACAGATTCGGTCTCAGTTATCGGTCTGGAAGAAGACGATTTGCAAAAAATCGTCCCTTTGACCGACATCGACGTGAACCGTTCGAACGATCCGACGTTGTTGTCGTTGAAACTGACACCGCCGCCGAAACAAAAAGAAACCAACAACGAGGACGAAGCGTCGATGGAAATGGACCCCGTGATGAGAGCACGGGTCGCCGATTACGTGAGAAGCACCGTGGGACTGCTCAATTTGCCCGACGCGAACTCGGAACATTCCGACATAAGCATATCCCCGCTGTCGTCTCCGGAATTGAGCCCGGTATCGTCGGTAGAAGAGTGTACCGTATTAAATTTTTACGTCAGCACGCACACCATGAACTATTTCGTATGTCTGTTGAACCTCGCGAAGCAGGAAAGCACCGCCAATCACTTCTCCGTACTGTAGCGGTCGTTACATTGTTGGTTTTATCGAATTGAAATATATCTTTGTTACGTAAACGGTGTTTCTTTTTTTACCGAGAAATTTGTCAAATCGATATTCAGCAGTAAAGGAATACTGATTGCATCTTTGTGCTGGTTTGATCTTACTATATACTATACAGAGTTGATTATGATGTATATTTTTGTGATTTTAATTATTCTTCATATTCAAATAATTCTTCCACTAAATATCTTTCGAATTCCTGATCTGTCTGTGATTATCAACATTTTTTTTAATCTTATCTTATTTTTCTACATTTACTATTTACAACTCGCTATGCCTTTATGGAAAGGACATCACGTGCAAAAGCAGAAAATTAGAACATCACTGGTATGATGACTCTGTACATTGACTTTTTTATTACTTTGTACAGAGCATAACGTTATCCTTAATTGGTTATAAAATTCTTCGTAAATCTACTTTTGCTTTACTCTTTTGTCTCTAGGTCTTTGAATTGCTTCCATCTCATCCCCATCCGAGTTCGATAGCCTTTCAAATATTCATGACAAATTTGAATTTGTAAGTTCTATTTATCAAGAACCGACGCAGAAGATTTGTAAATAGTAATTTCTTTACGTCTACTTGGAAATTCTTAGGTTTTTAAGTCCTTTGGATAAAAATTTAAAAGTCTTTGCTTGATTAGGTTCAGAACTCTAGTGTAGTGGACCCAGAAAATAGAATTTCTTTCTTCCCAAACCTCCTGCTTTCTATCTCCCTAGATCGGAAGATATAGGAATTTTGTTTTCTCATATGTATCCCGCATGTGCGGTTTTGCTCTTGTTAGTTCAAACACTTCCAGTTGTTTGTTGATTTTTTTTATTTCTCAATATAGTCATCCAAGGTATCTCAGCGATATAGTAACACTTTTATCAATGTCCATCCATCCATGCCATAGAGAAGAGCCGATGAAAGGGGGAAATCGGAGCTCTTCAAAAAGTCAGGTATCCAAGTACTTCAATTTATCTACTTGATTCACATTGCGTCGATTCTTAAGGTGGAGTCTAGCAACCAATTTACGTCTCTGCAGATAATCATCAACTAACTGTAGTAATCTAACTGACTTTCGAAGGAGTGGCGTCAAACTTCGTCACTGCACGAGGTCGTTTCAAAATATAGGAGAATCGACACCGAAACACCCACTGTTATCTACTAGCAATATTATTTCTCTTCCTTGCGGACTGAATGCCGTGAAAAGATTCATGATGTGATATTTCCTGCCTTCAATCCTGATATACAGTTCTTAATTAGTTCACACACTTCACATTATTTGTTGACACGTCATATAATTTCTTCGTTTGTTAATCTAGCCGTCCAGGGATTCGGAGATAAAGATAAAGTTCTCAATGTCTAGTCTTCCATGTTGTAGACCAAACGAAGTAAAGGTCAAACATGGAGCTAGAAACTTTGTGGAATATCAAGAATAGTTGGCGGGCCTGCTCAATGCGACATTTTATCTTCTTGTTAGAAGTTTAATCTTCGTAGCACTTGAATTCTTCTACCCTATAAGGCTAAGTTTACAAATATGGTTTGGTTTCTAGAGATATTCGTGAATGTTTGGTTTTTTGATATTGACATTTAAGCCCACAATTATTTGCTCTGTTCTCTTACCTTATTGTCCCTTGGTTGTATGTCGTATAAGCAATCAAGTTAATTTGTCATTATAGTGAATATTGTTTATTCACACTCCATTAACTTTAACTCCTATTTTCACACCTTCCAAAGCCTCTTGGAAAATTTGAAAAAAAAAGAAGTTTTTTGCAGAAATCGCTTCAAATATTAGAATTCAAACTAAATCTTTTTTATTTTTTATTTATTAAATACCGTAAGACAATAAATATATCACAAAATTAACTAAATAAACTATATACACTCTTAGGTAACTATAAAAGCTTCTTACCTATTTCTAGCTACGAAATAAATTAATACACGAAGTTAAAAACCAATTTTGTTTGTTTTAAATTTTGTATATATTAGGCATTGATCGGCTTCCACTGTACGATAGCCCTCTGGTCATCAGGAGCTTGACCAAAGGGTTTGGTATTGTCGCTGGCTACGTATTGATTAACCTGGCAGTCCAGCATTATCTGATATTTGTGCACGTCCGTACCTAGTTGCTAAAAGTTAGAGAGTTTGTCTAACGTGAAAGCAAAATGAAACGCGTGGTCTTACCTGCGTCAGGGGACTGGTATTGGTCGTAAATATCCCGGAAAAATTTCTAGATCGGGCTAGATTCAAGACCTCGTCTTCCATGAATTGCATTACCGCTACGTTTTCTTTGGCGCTCAGTGACGAATGAGTGGCCATCATAAACGAATGGAGAATTTGCCCCTTACCGGGAGGTAATTTGTTGTCTCTGCTAGAGGATACCCAAAAACATTAACGTTGTGCTAAGGGTTAGGTAGCAATACTTTAGTAGACGCCTTTTATTATATGCCTTGATTAGTTGAATTGAATGAAACCCTGAACCCAGTCGCCTTATTAATAAGCTTGAGGGTGGTGACATCGAAACTCACTGACTTATCTACTTAAAGAATAAACTAAATTTTGCTGCAAACGGTTAAATGCATTTAAATATTCAAAGAATATTTTTGCTCAATTCATATTGAGAGAGAATAAACCTTGAAGTGAGTGGTCTGATCAATGACCTTGAGAGTAGTGGCACCGAACGTCATTCACTTATCTACTTAAATCGAAAACAAAATTTTTCTGGCAATCTTGTACATGTCGGTTAAATACATTTAAATATTCAACGAAGGCTTGTGCTCAAATTAACCAAAGTTAACTACAGTGTAGTAAAAAGAAATAAACTTCACCTAACGGGTCCCTCGATGCTCTCCAAAAACTCGAATATCACAGTCAGTTTCGATTTGATCTCGACTTCCGGTTCATCTCGGGCGTCAAAATTCAAAGCTACCCCCACTATTTTCCCGGACTCGGATTTGGCGACGAAGCTCAGGTTTTTCTCTACCAGTGGCTCCCACAGGGCGTCAATGAGCTCATCGTAATCGGACTCAGATATCTCAGAGATTATCCATTGTTCGAGGTCTGCTTTTTGATAGAAACTGGTCGTTACCATACTGAAATGAATTCGATGGTAAAAACACTATTTTTTTGTAATTTTTATAAGATTACGTACTCCAGCACCGCCATTTTATCTTCCGGCTTGAGCAATTCGGCGGTAAATTTGTGCGGTTGTTTATTACTCTTCGTGGCCGACGTCATATTGTACAATATTTCTTCGAAATTTGCCGCGGAAATAAAATCTCCGATATCTGAAAGTAAACGTGCGCGGTTTGTTCGGAAATCCCACTTCTGATTTAACATAAAAGAGTCATAAGTTATTTGGTTTTCGTAACTTAATTTATGCAAATTTTAAAAATGTGGTCAAAAATGAAATTAATGCTCTACGCGTGCATTTTTTTATTATTTTAGAATTCTTTCTTGTGTACCTCTACCGAATAACTATAACTGCTCTGGTCCAAGCAGTCTGTTGACTAACCCTGCTTGGATAAAGAAATAAATAAATTAAAAAATGGAAATTGGAATTTTTATATTTTCGGAATTTACAAAATACTTAAATTTACTATTTTTGCAAAAGAACAGGAAAAGAGGCAAAAAAAAAACAAAGAAAATAATAAAAAGAGGTAAGCGAATTTTATAAAGTTAATGTTAAAATAATACCAATCTAGAAAATTGAAAACAGCTTTATGCCATGCACATTTATAATAAAACAATTTATAATTTAACAAAAATTATTTTGTAAGTAAAATACAATATATATTTAATTAGATCGCTATGAGCTTTACTCTCACTGGTACACGGAAAAAACTGACTTTTGTCATAAAGTCATAAAGACGAATTTACGTGGTTTATTCTGATGTTTGCTTAAACCACCAAACTTCATAATACCCTTATATAAAAACACAAAAGATGTTTCTTTTACGCCCAAAGAACAGCAATTGGACTTACTTATATGGTATCCCTTGTCAGCTAGCCTCGAAATGGTGAATATTGAGTTCAAAGAGTTCCCGCCGATTTCGTAAAAGTTCGCGTCTATCGAAATGGCAGACCTGGCGGCGCGACCCAAAACCGACGCTACCGTTTCGAACAAATGTCTAGCCGGCGTCATCAGGTGCGAAGACACGCCCTCATACGAAATTTCCACTTCGGGTTTGAAATCGTCTGAAAACGACAGCGCCGAATAGAGTAAAATGTGGAATTGCACAAAGAATAGATCGTTTGGTATCATTCGAGCTTTCAACGTTACAGAAAAAGTTTATACATAATAATAATAGACATAAATCAACCAAAACTGTAACTTTAATGTAAATATTTTATCATTTAAACCAATTTAACACACTACTTAGCAATATACTTGGGACTTTCCGAAAAACCAGCTTTATAACTGCAATCAACTCCATTTACGGATAATCTGCAATATTGAGTTGATGTGTTATGTGTGATGTGTTGATGGACATTACTCAACCAAAATTGTAGCTTTTATTAAAACATTTAATCATTTAAAGCACACTACCTCACAATATACTTATAATTTGCCGATAAACCAGCTTTATAACTGCAATCAACTCAATTTAAGGACACTTGATATTTAATTGGTGGGGATGGATACATCAGTCAACAAAAATTAAATAACTTTTTTTTGCAATAGTAGACTAAGCCAACCTAGCACTATTTAATTGAAGGGAGTACTAGTTTGAAGGCGCAGTCTCGGCAGTAGACTCACGAATAATCGGAGACTAAATTCCCGAATACCTACCATTATTGTTGGTGTTCTCGTAAGTTTTGAGGAGCGCCTGCCGGTCGATCTTGCCGTTTACCAAAAGTGGAACGGTATCGATCAAAATCACCTGCGGAATCATGTACGACGTCAGTTTGTCCCTCAGGAGAATTTCGATCTGATGATCGGTCATCAGCTTTTTGGTAGTGACGAATGCGAGTAAAGCTTGACTGATTTCGCCCGGTTTGTAGCATAGTACCACCGCCTTGTCCACCTGGAAGAAGAAATGGCCGATATTGGAGACGAAATTTGCCCTTTCCGCGATTAAGTATGCAGGTGTCCCAGTAAAAAAGCATGAAATAAATGGGTAATAAAAAAACCGCTCCAAATTATTTTTGATTTTCTAAGGTGGCATCTTCAGGAGAAGATTAAAACTCCAGTGCCGAAGGTTCCAGTCAAAAGTTTGATACCGATTTATCAATCAATCAATTATCAATTATATTAATGAGGCGAATACACCTCCACCAGATGACATCATCGCCAAAAAAAATCAAAAATTGGATAAAAGAATTTAATTTTTATTATTTAGAATGTCAAATGATACTTAAATATGATATATCATAATTTTCGTAATTTATCTTCGAATGGCACAAAATTACTTCGTAGATGCTGGCATTGTTACTACGTTTGCATATCTACACCCTTTTTCAATTTTTTATATTTATAACTTGTATGTGTGTTAAAAATTGGGTATAGAAACAACATTCTTGAATGGTTTTTAACTATTCACTAATTAAAAAAAAATAGTGAGTCTCTAGCATTGGATTAATGACCTAGTCGGTAATTTTTCAAAAAAGGATCTTCCACAGGCTACTGCTAGCCCCCAGCGACTATTATTGGATATTTGAAAAAGGACTTACGTGGATTGCGGTTTAACGACGAAGTTGAGTTAAACGAGGCTGTTTTAGCTCATTTTGCAGACAAACCAAAAGAATATTTTTTAAATGGATTGAGTTGTTAATAAAGAGATGTAATAAGTGTATTGAAGTTAAGGGGGATTATATTGAAAAATAATAAAAAATTCTTACTCTACTACTCTACTCTCATTCATATTCAGGCCGGGAACTTTTGGCGCTGGCCTCGTATGTTTACAGATAGAAGACACACTTTTGTTTTGAAAAAATTTGAAAAACATTTAGTTATCAACTGTTATTATCAGCACAGAGAATAGTTTTGGTTAGTTGCTATTTTCTTACTGTATTGCAATCTTTTTTTATGATCGCAAATAACATTTTGTCACTGTAAGATTTTTATGTTTTGCTATGTAAGTATTAATAAAAAACTTTTATTACATTTTTTTTTGTTTCATTTATATTTATTCAAAGAGGTCTGTGGTATAGGTAAAAAATTATAGAATTTCTGAATAATATAATAACAATATTCATAATTTTTCATGTAATAAAAATGCATATTTGCATCTCTTGTTTACTTCGATGCATATATTATTTGATAATTATATGCATTTAAATGCACATATATTGGGGCTTTTCCTTGCATGTTCTTTATTTATAACAAAAGGCGCAAACGTACGTTGTTTATATACAGGGTTAGTAAAAAGCACCGGAACGCTTAAGACCCCATAATTTCAACATTTTGTTTCTATTAATTATTGAGCTGCGGCAACACCGCTTGTTCTGTAAAAAGTGGCGGAATGCTTAAATATCTCCAAAACCGTCGATGCTGAAATTCAATACGTGAGAGTTTTTGAACATGCAGTATCAAAAAATGCTAACAACAGTGTTGTCAGATTTACCACTGTTAATAAGAAAATTGAATATCTTTTTTGAATTTTAATACTACCTTTTTTCAACAGGTAACAAGACCCAATTACAGGAAACACAAATCATATAATATACATACACAGGGGACGTAAACACTAATCTAAATAATAAAAAGAAGGAAAGAAGAAGAAAGTACATATAACTCGACGCCAATCGAAGTTGCCATATTGTAAGTAGGGCTTTGAAAATGGATATTAGATATTAGATCTGGGTAACTGCGGTAAGAAAGTTGATTGATGATTGATGGAGGTTTTTGAACATGGGAAACTTAATAGAAGAGGATCAGTAAAAGGTTACCAGAATTATAAATATCATCGCGAAATCTGAATCTGACAACATGGATGTTTGAATTCTACACGTTTAATGAATCTTATCGTTCCAGCTATGGCAGTTTTGGAAATTTTTTCATATCATACAAGAAAACGCGAGCTAATTATCAAGAAGAAGAATTAAATTCTTTAAAAAAACTGATTATTTGGTATATCAAAAACAGTTACTATTTTATGTATATACAATTTAATTAGTTGTAATTTTTGAACAGTTATTACTGTCTCCTCTGTCCACATTTTTATTTTAATCATTTATTAATAAAAAAATAGATTTTTCAAAAAACAAACTCACCCCCTCAATCGAATGAACAGCCCGTTCGACTTCCGTCAGATCCACCCGGTTGCCCCTTATCTTGACTTGCGAATCCGTCCGTCCTTCGTATATCAGGGTGCCGTTTTCCAGTCTGGCAAAGTCGCCCGTCCTGTAAAGTTTTGAAAAGGCGGGGTCTATCGCGAGAGGGTTTTCCAGGAATTTGTCCGGATCCCTGCCGTTGACGTATCCGGCGGCCAGATTGAGACCGGATGCGAATAATTCCCCCACGTCACCGGCGTTTACGGGCCTGAAATCCTTGTCTAGAAGATAGACCATGGTGTTGTCGATCGGAACTCCTGGAAAATCACGCAAAGTTTTCGAAAAAAGATGGAAAGATATCCACCATTTTAGGGAAAAATAGAATATTTTTGTGAGAACAAATACATGGCACATGGATTATATATTATACACCGATCTAGCGTGCGGGAATCGTCACTTTTTCAAGGTCATTTTTTTATAGAAGCCACGCTGCATAATTTTGAATCACTGAAAACAACTTGAAATAATTTAAAAAACCTTTCTAAAAATATAACACATGCGACATTTTAATCGAGTCTTCCGTGCAAAAATAAATTTTTGTAAAGGTAATATTAAGGTTCTTTCAATGAAATGAAAATATCAGGGTGGCCCATATAACAAAAAACATCCTGGTGATAACTATGTTTTTTACTTAAATTAAACCCCAGGTATTTACATTGGGTTTCGTCTATATTTCAAAAAAATGTGTAAAATGTCTAGCAAATATTATTAGTATTTTCGGGAATATTACAAAACAGAATTTTCAAAAAATTAAACATCACTAAAAACACGAGAAATTTGCTCACCCAGTCCAATGCAATAGGTTATTAAAGTTGCCCAGATAAATCGATATATCTACCGTTTGTTGAATAAAATTATCCTGGTCGGAAAGAAAGTATTTATCTACATTATTATTTAAATTTATTCGTCGAAATGTCAAGTAACTTGATCTTGAGAATTTATTGTTATTCGTGGTCAAAAATTCAGAAGCATGTGGATTTTTTTTACATTGCTTTTTGCATAAAAAACATATTTAGTATATATACTTAGCGGCCGAACCCGATTTAAATTTTGTCAAGCAAAACGAGGGCAAGGCTGTCAAATTTATGTGCTTTAGAACGAGAACCGATTGCTTTTCATTGCCTTTCAACTAATTATACCACAATTTACGCTAACAGGCCCAATTAAATACACTGATTATCAGATCTTAGACCGAAGAAAAAAGATTGTTTTGCAAATAGACGACGTATAAGGTGTCTCTAAAAGTTTTGTACGAAATTGCACATATTACTACCGACAGAATAAGTAGCATAAACCGATTTAAAGAAATTTGCTTCAGTCCATATGAATCGAATATGGTATCATAAGCATTCCTCTTAACTGCGGCTGTTAGAGGGCGCTTCACACTGTACCCCTGATAATTGCAATGGTCATAATATTTTTCTCAGTGTATTTTTTTAGTTTTGTCACGAAAATGATTCATTTCTAAGCAAAGAAAGTTTTCTTTTTTATTGTTAAGCTCTTTAAAGGTACAAAGTAAAGTTTATTATTTCATTGGTTTCCAAAGTTATGAGAAAATGGCAAATACAAAAGTTATAAAGATTGTTAGAATGCACACATTAAGACAATTAAACATTCACCATATTTTTAACTTTTGTTTTGAATTCGCTTTGAACTTTTGCAACTTTTTATTAATAATAATGCATACCTAAAACTAATCGTTTTTCCAACATTAAATTCAAATAACTGATAGGTAAATAAGAAAATTCTCAGCTCTTTTTCATATATCACCTACAAAACAATGTACAATGTTCTTCCTCAACATATCAGAGACATATCACAGTCTAACTTCTCCAGAGAAAGTTAGACCGTTTCTTCTGGAGCATGCTTTTTACTCAATTGCAGAATACACCCTTTCAGTCAAACACGAACTTTAAATCAACATATGTTTTATTATCTACCTATCTATATTATATTTTAGATTCCATGGTTTTTACACTTGATAATTTATGTACTTTTATAGTGTATGTATATTGTGTATTTTGTCATATTGCTATCACGCATGGAATTTTTCTATCTTAAGACTCTGTTTATACGATTTATTTATCCACAACCACAAGTTGTCAGCGTAAATCTTTCTTTTTTCTTTTGTATCTACTGACCCGCCATTTGTTGTAAAGACTTTTTATGTAAAAAATGGCCAAATAAATCTATCTATCTAAAACAATCTGGGTTTAGAAAAAGATTATAGTTGTGAGAGTGCTGCGATCGATATTGCTTATGATTTACTGCTGGCATTGGACGAAGGCAGAATTGCCACCCCCATTTTATTAGACTTTAGCAAGGCTTTAGACATTACAAATTTTACACTACATTGTTTTTATCCGATAGAGTTGAACAGGTGATTTAAAGAACTTTTATAAAATTGCATCCGATCATGTACTGCAACTAAATCCTACTAAGTCGTCCGTGTTGGTTTTCGGAAATGATTAACCGGTACATAATGTTAAAAACAAAATGATCGCAAAAATTAATTACACTCCTATACCATACTCGGACACATCGAAAAGAAAATTTTCGTAAGATTATTCAGAAAATATTCGTTTATTTTGAATATCCTGTAGCATCCAATCCAATCATATATCAAACAGTGATCTACCTATTGGAAAACTAATAGGTTCAGGTATTATTATTAATACAAAAGTTCAAGAATTTTAAAAAGAATTCAAAACAAAATTTTAAAATAGGATTTTAGGAAAATATGTTTTATTCGTCACCCTTTTCTGAGGCACCCTGTATACTTTAAAATAATTTGCAACTGTGCATTCTAACCATCTTTACAACATTTGTATTTAATATTTTCTCATAACTTTTACTCTCCATTTACTTTATCCTTGACTCACCCTGTACAGGAACATTCAAATAAGTTTGGATAAAATAATTTTATTTTCACCGGTAATCATGAAATTTGGTCAATTATTTGAAATGAATTATTGCATGAATATTTTATTGCGGGTAAAATAATCCAAACATTTTGATTATTTCCTTACCAAAACGAAAACTACACTGAGAGAAAGCTTACGATTACCTGAAACCGTCAGACATGGTGCGTGAAGCGAAAGTACTTTACCTATAGGAACTTTTTGGTGTTGGTCCAGTTGGTTGCGGTACGAGATCACGTGATAGGTGACATCTCCCATGATCTCGGTGCTGCCGTAAAAGTTGCATAGTTCGTGGCGGCCTTCTGGGAAATAATCGAAGAATTCTTCGGCAAGGGAAACCGCAAGGATTTCTCCGGAACACACCCACGTTTTCAGGTGTCCCAAAACGGCCTTGGTTTTCTAGACAAAATATAGAAACTAATCGTGACTGGGATGCGACCCTGGTGGTGTGGTCTGTTCATAGTTATAAGAAAGTGACCAATTGCTTTTGAATGGGATTATCCAAGGGTGGTCATTAACATGCAATGCGCAACAAGATTATTACCTAAAGTTTCGGAATTTCAATTCAGATAAAATTGTGGTAAGTAATAGAAATAGTTTTATACCTACCTGTGTTTAATATTCTTTGGTTTGGTATACTACTTAGTTTAAGTTAATTGGTAATCACTCTTATTTCGTGTATAATACAGCGTGTGTTGAATCGTGTGCGAATTATGCAAAATATGTGCGATTCTAGAGTATCTCAGCAGATGCTTCTGCCCAAATGTAGAAAACACTATTCTATTGAGACTAAGGAAGTTGTAAACAATGTTTATTTGACTCTCATTGAACGTGGTGCCAGCAAGCAAGCATCTTTAGAAGAAACGGCCACAATTCCAACATCAACTGTATGGAAAATTGTGAATTTCATTTCAGCGAGGAAAAAAAGAAGCGATGCTGACATTTTCGCGAGTGTAGATGAAAGTGATCAAGATATAATACGGCGTAAAATTTTCCAGTTATACGAGGAACAAAGCGTGCCTACGTCAGATGTCTTAATTAGGAGGCTTGAAAAAGATGAAACCGGTGTTAAATATGGCAGAACTACCTTATGGAAGAATTCGGAAATGGCGATTGGAATATCTAGAAAAAATTAGGGATTACAGAGAACAACAAAGGCCAATTATTTACTTGGATGAAACTTGGTTCGACATTTATGATACCCCGGAAAAGGGTTGGGTTGACTCAACTGATAAGTGTAAAACAAAAGTGCCATCAAAAAGAGGTAAAAGAATAACTATTTTGCATGCTGGCTCTAAAGATGGTTGGATTCCAAATGGACTTTCTCTGTCTGCAAAAAATATTAAAGATTCTTCTCTGGATTAACAAGAAAACACAACCGCTGATTTATTTGAAAGTTGGTTTAAAAACAAACTAGTTCCAAACATCCCTCCTAATAGCGTCATTGTAATTGACAATGCAAGTTATCACAGTAGACAGTTGACTAAAACCCCCTCCTCGTGTGACATAAAAGCAACAATCCAAAACTACATGTATAATAACGACATTTATTTTCACGGAGATTAAACCAAAAATTGAGGTTCTACAAAACTTGAAGTTACAAAAGGAATACGTCTGTGATAATTATGCAAAAAATCTAGAGCATACAGTTAAGGCACCAACTGAAATCTGCCATTCGTCGTAACAATGTTTTTCCCCATGTTAACTCCAATGTCCTCAAACTTACAGAAACCGAAATTTTTAACATCCCTCCACAAAGTTGTGCAAATTCTGTTAAACATATAGAAAAAGCAGAACAATCGTATATCATATTGCAAATAATATAGAACAAATAATAATTAGAAAAGGTGATGATAGCGATACTGATACTGATATATTATGTGAATAATTTGAGGTAATTTAAATAGGAAATGAAATTAATTTGTAATTTTATTTTAGATTTAAACATAAATACATACATAAATAAATAAATATTGTTTTGTATTTTTCCTAACAAAACCCCAAATAATTAAATTCTAAACAAAGTACGGACCTGTTCGGCCATGTTTCATTCTTACAGCTTGCCCGGGTCTTTCCTTAATTCGTATCAGTTAGTCACTTTCTTATATCTATGAGCAGACTTTACTTACTTGCAGCTGAAGATACATCAGCAGAGATCTCAAGAGAGACGGCACCAAGACAAGACGTTCAATCTAAAAAATATTTAGAGATAGAGTACACGGATTGAAAAAATGAAAAAAAAAACATATTTAACCAAATGTGTATGAACAAATTAAAACACGTGCTTAGCAAGCACTCAGAATAAGAGTAAATTGAAATTTTGTCAAAAATATGCCAAATATTGCTCGTATCTGTCGACGAGTGAGATTGACCGTTTCTAAGCAGGCCTTCACCTTGTACTCCCCCAAAAGGTCTATAAGTTTCTCGGGATCTTTTGTCAGCGACCTGGGAACCACCAAAACGGCGAGACCATTTAACAATGGGCCCCAAATCTCGCAGACACTATCGACGAAGGTAAGAGCAGTTTTGAAAACGCACACTTTTTCGGTGGCACTGTACGGAAATCGTTTGAACTGCCATTGAAGACGGTTGAGTATCACTTTGTGGGGAAGTCTCACGCCTGCAATCAAAAACGTGTAATTGAGGTTTAGAGGTACCTTTGAGGCGTCGCAAGGTTTAAAAAAGGTGCTTAATACTTAGATACCTTAAAGAAATACGGGGTGACTCAAATAAATAGCGACGCTGAAAAACTGATAATCCCGATTCCCTCTTGTTGGTTTTTTGAACTAGGACGACTGTTAAATGTCGAATTACTTGAATATTTTAAGAGGTGAAAGTTGGATATGCACCATTAATCCTGCGAAGAATGGACTCATTAGTTTTGACAATTTGGAGTTCAATGTCAACATTTTACGTATCTGTCTTGATTTGTCGTGTATCACAATCGTTAAAGCTTGTATGCAAGACTTTTTTACTTAAGATTATACAGGGTGTTTTCTAATAATGACACTTTTTGATTTTTTATTGGTTAGATTCCAGATCATTATTACTTTTGTGACTAAAACTATTAAATGCCTGAATGGTTAAATGGATAAAAATAATTGCAACCCCATTGAAAATTTATGTTTACGAAAAAATAAACAGATACAAGTTTATTGCAAATAAAAAATTCTCCTAAAATTGAAAAGAAAATAAATAGATTTTTTTAAATAGCTACAGTACTAACTACTAACTAAAGTTACAAAACAGAAACAAAAACAAACAAATTACAAAATTTCGATATTTAAAGATACTAAAGAAAAAAATGTTATTAAATAAATAATCCTCAAAAATGTTTATCATTTAACAAGACGAAACCAAAAAATATTTCGTAACAAACCAAAAAAGAACAAAAAAATATTACCTATTATATTTTTTTAATTTGTCATTTTTAATTTTCAGAAACATTTTTAGATAAAAAAATTACACAAAATGCACGGCATCCATCCTACGTCGCTGAGTAAAATTATTAATTTAAAATATAAACTAAACAGAAAAATTCCCTGTAATAAAACAAAAATCCAAATTAAAGCTACTATTTAACAAATAATAACAAATTATTTTTGGTTAGTTTTGGATAGATCATGCTGTGCCTATTTGGTTACTCAATTATTTGGATGTCTGAAGATGCCTTTAAATAATATTTAAGACATCGATTTTGTGTTTATTTGTTATTGTTACATGTCTCCCCGAATTTCGTATTCCATTATCGAAAATAAAATCAGCAGTTTTCTACTTTTTAAAAATAAATTGGTAAATATTTTTTTGAACCACTCCGTATCGCCGGCGAGAGTCGAATTTCAAAACACCCAGTACAACCTTGAAAATGAAAATGCGTTCGTTCGTAATTACAGTGTGAATTAGCGATTAACAGCGGATTTTGATTTTTAACGCAACTCTAAATTGTGTTGTAGAGCCTTGACTGAAATTAACAGTATTACTCTTCCCAACAAACGCACATTCGTCGAGCAAAATCGAACAGTTTCCGCGTTCCGGGGCCATAAAATAAATCGTGATTAATAACCGTTTTTGCACTTAGCGATAACATTATTCCGGTCGGAATGTTTCTTGTATTTTTCAATGTTGATTGAAAAGGCGCGAAATTACTTAGCTTAGCAATTTCCATAACATTACTTATTCATTAACGATTAAATAAAAAGTTTAATTAATTTATCAGCTGTAAATGTCAATGTGAATTTGATTGAAGTTACATTTGTGTTTAACTAAACGAATCTTCGTTCATAACCTCTGAATTGATCGAGTCCCACCATGGAGTCGTCTGCAAATCATTTACAATATATACCGACTCCCACTAGAAGGCAGAAATAGCAGGAAAACAAGTGAAATATTGATAAAATGAGATTCTATTATCTATTATTTACTATGCTTATAAGCTATATACACGGTGTCTCACGACATGACTACCGTAGCTTAGAAGTGTGTTGCCCGGCTGATTTCAAGTTTAAAATATCAAATAAACAAACATCATTCCAACTGAGCTACAAGCATATGATTTTTTATTTATTAATATTCTATTTGATAGAAATGTCCACCCAGTTGCTGTATACATAATCTAGCTCTTAAAATTGCTAACAGTGTCAGCATCAGCACGAATCTGCATAAACTAAAGCATAAAAAGTAATCTAAGGGATTAAGGTCAGGTGACGTTATTGGCCAAGGAACTGCTAAACCTCTTCCGATCCACCGGTTTTTTGATCAAGAAATTCTGTTACTTGTCGACCAAAGTGAGGAGGTGCGTCATCGTGCTGAATCCACATTCGTTGTCTTACATTAAGAAGAACATCATCCAGTAATATTAAAAGATCATTGTCAATGAAACGTAGTCGTCACAAACCGAAATTGTGTAAAGTTCTCCATACTTTCATCCGCTTTGTGTGGTCTATTACGTATTCTTTGGACACTAGCAGAAGGTTAAGCATCAATCGGATTAAATACTGCCTCTTGAGCAAGGTCCTGTTGAACGGGACGTTAAGAAGTAGTACTAAGAAAGTTGCCGGTTTCTCTCAAACATCGATGGACTTGTTAAAAACAGTTCTACAAGACACCCTAGGAGTGGGAGATTGTCGACGATGTTCACCAACTTCATAAACAAAGTTAAAGTCACCGTATTCTTCATTCCAAAAAGTAAACACTGTAACTTGAAGAGTATTTTAATGTAACATACGAAAATAAGCACGTAAAATTACTTTAATTGACGTTTACTGTCACAATACATAGGATTCACAGCCACCTAGACCGTTTAATAATAATATTAACGGCCGAACGAATTACTGGAACAACTAATTCCATAAATCGGTTTCTTTTTAAATGACATTTGACATTTTTTACTTGTCATCGTTTAACAGTCATATTGTGGGACATCCTGTATAACCTATGTATAAGTTAATGATTCGTGACCAAACATTCTTATCTTTTTGACAAGGCCTTTGTTGTAAGGGATGTTGAACGTGTATATTGGTTAGCAAATCACTTTTCGAGATGAAAAATCACCAACTGCTCTAAAGTTGCTTCAAAATGTCGAAAATACCAACGCACCATCATTGAACATAAAGTACGCTACAACAATAACAGCTGAAGTTTAGAAATCCTTTTAATTAAAGTCAAATAATATTGTCAGTTTGTTGAACAAAATATTGCTGTTTACTTTTTCAATTTCACACGATATTAATCAAATTCTAAACTGAAGAGTTTTAATTGGCTGGTAGTATCCTACAGTGTGATTATAAGTTTTGTCACTTACTTAAGCGTTAATCACTGTTGTTGTTTGTGGTTGTAACTTCAGAAGTAGTAGAAAAAATGAGTTAACATATATTCTAAACATTTTATTTTTTGCTTCATTCGAATACATCCTTGCCAGAGAGCTGCAAATGTGTGTTACGTTAAAAATGATCGAAGTTGGCTAGGTACACGATCCATGTGACAGAATGTTTGACAGGAACAAAAGATGTGAGGATTTCTGTAGCAAAAGATTTAAAATTCTCTAAATAAAACAAAATGAAAATGTTTAGAATACATCAAAGATTAAACAAAGCATTAGATAATTAAAGTTTTTCACCTTAAATTCTTGATGTTACCAACAGCGTAAAAGCAACTGTTTGATTTCTAATGTTATTTTAAAATATTCAACAATCAAATGTTTCTGGTGCAAATGAATATGGTTCTTCCTAACCTTTAGGAATGCCAGTACTGCCGGAAGTGTACAAGACCACTGCGAGATCGTCCTTGATGTGCCGAACTCTTTCATCTTCGCATAGGTTGGCATCGTCTTGTTCAGCGCTGGCGACTAACAGCTGATCCAACGATATTTTAGGACTGCCCATGTAGAATTCAGAGTCTGAAACCGAGAGATTTTTTTTGTAACGTAAGTTGCTGGATTTTTCCATCTAAAATGCATTTATTTTGCCCACGTACCATGGGCCGCTATCGGAAAATAATTAGTAATTAATAGCAATGACAGTAATAAAAATGATTAATTTCCCCTTTCGATGTTGTTTAATGTAATGCGAATTGAACAATAACAATTATAGATAAATGGCTTTTCGATATTACCATAAAAGTATTAATTTTTTACGTTTTTGTGTAAGGTCGACTTTTTTGTGATTTCATAAGATTGCGTACACACCAGGAGTCGATGTACAAACAGAACCCCTTTGGAATGAAGCTAAAACCCATTATTAAACATAATTATATAGGGTGCTTCAAAAAACTTGCTCTAATGATTTGTCATCTAAAAAAAATAAAAAAAAAATAAGAAAATGCTTAAGTTCCAAGATATGGCGTGAATATATATTTTTTAAGACATTCTTGAAATTATTTTTTTTATTCTGTTTTTGTTATTATTTTCAATCCTTAATATTTAATACTTGATACCGTTAAAAATTAAGGATTAAGTTGTCTCTGACTACACATATGTCACCCACAATAGTCGGTACGTAAGGTAATTTTGTTTTTCTACTCCGGTCTGTAAAATGCCTAATTACACATGGATCTAGGGTGTGGGAAGCGTCACTTTACCGGTTTCATTTCCCACGGCCCCGAGCAACTTCGGAAGTTTCCGGGATTTTATCGCACGAGTTTGGAGGCAATCGGATGTTTTGAATTTTGACGTTTGTTTGAATGTATTCGTGTTGTTTTGTAAAAATCTTCCCAAACACAATTTAAATACCACGTGCTGCAAGCCACAATTAAAATCTAGTGGACTAGCCCGTAAGTAAAGTGACATTTATGATTTAAGATTTTTTTAGTGGTTTTTACAGTTTTTATATTAATATCTTGCCAAGACCAATTGTACAATTTTCAAATATCCATGCCTCACCAGTACAAACAAAACAAAATTGAAGGTTAGGACCTGCTTTTTCTTGTTAAGCGATCTTAAAAATTTAACCTTCTTAAAAGCTCTATCCTTGGATGATTTTTCTTCCAATTACAGTTTTTTTCTTTAAATGAGCAATTGTAAAAGTTTCATAAACAACATGACCTTTTAAAATTGTGTTTATTCCGTTGTTTAACATATCCAATAATACATCTCTCTTTGTCTAACGCAAACAGTTAAAAAGAGACAACAATAGCAGACCCGATCTGAAGGATGAAGGGATAGGTTCAATGGTAACTAGTAAATATAGTATGTAATTTAGTAATCGGATAATCTGTTATTTTTAATTTGTTAAGTTGTGATTTCTTCGTGACGATCGTAGAAAATGTATAGTATGCAACACGTTTTTGTAAAATGTCAAAAGTCAAATGCCGTTTACCGCACTTGTTGCATAATATACTATTTAATTTTTAAGCGATTTTATTGTTTTAGAAGTTTAATTTTAACGTATGCAAATACATTTCCATTTAAACTTTTTGATGTTTTTTTTTTGGAATTTTGCAGTTTTGTATAACCTCTTTGAAGTTACCTAACAAGGGTGTAAGATTGGGTGATCTCGCTGGCCAATTCCAGAGTTCTAAATACCTAAAAATAGCGTAAAATTTTCTAATTATTTTATGGCTACCGACGACCAATATCTAGATACAGCAACATAAATATCATTTGAAAATGTTTTTAATTGTCTTCCAAAATAGTTGATAAAGTACAGGATGTACTATTTGAAAAAATGTTGATTATTTTTGTTTTCGTACGTTTTGAGCTCCCTTGTATATTACAGAGTGAACTTGTCTACCTAAAACTATTGCATGAAATCTTCATAAACTATAAACAAAGTTTCAGCTACCTGCAAATTCAAATACGGCGGTAATATAATTTTTTTTTTTTGCTTGGAACAAAAAATTGGAAAAAAAAATTATGCAAAAATAACTAGAAATTGAAAGGTATGGAACATTCAATAATTCACCATACAATGTGCATTTCAGAGTGGATACTAAGTTTGATAAGGGTCTATAGCTATAGCGATAAAACTGGCATCACACACAACACATTTTTTCAAAGGTTTCAAGTTTTCTGATTATTGTTCCTCTTGATGCTCTTGGTGACCATCAAGTTTACCAGAACACCTTTCTCAGAAAAACTAATACGTTTCCAATGGCACTAAAATTTGCTCAGTATTCGGTCAAATCGTAAAAGGATGAAATTCTCTCGCCATTTGAGTCACGAGTGTACTTGGTACGAGCGGAGCGAGTGTTTAATGAACGAGTGTCTTAAAAAGTTTACCAAACGTGTTACATACTATACTTTTTCTACGACAGTTAGCATTTGGGTCAATTTTTGTAAAACAACAGAAATAACTGACACAGAATTGCCAAACGTCAAAATTCAAGCCGTACTGTAAAATCTTCGAAAGTATCCGATTGCTCCCGAACCCATGCGGTAATATCCCGGAAACGTCCGAAGGGGCTCGGATCCGTGGGACAAGAAACTCATGTGGTAAAGTGACGCTTTCCTCATACTACAAAGGGAGTAGACGAAATAAAATTCCAACTGAGAAGTGTGAAAACTTCATAGCAAAAATTATAAGATCGCAGATAAGCCATACCTTTGTCGTAAATAACCAGTGCTGGTTTCGATTCTTTCAAAATATGCTCGATCCTAGGTCCAGGAAAGGCGTGGTCCAAAGGAAGATAGGCCGTTCCCGATTTCCAGATAGCGAGGAGGACCATCACCAGTTGCTCGCTGGGATTCATGTTAACGGCAACGATATAATCACCGTCACTGTTTCTGGCCAAGTTGTTGTGGACGATCTCATGATGAATTGCTCGTGCCAATTTGTTGGTGATTTTGTTCACTTGGTCGTAAGTGTGCTGTCTGATTTGGTCATTTTCTGGAAAGGAGACGCACTGGGTGAAGCTAGACGGGTATAAATTAATTAGAGAAGATTTACCTTTAAAAATAATGGCAGTATTCATTGCGGACTGTCCGGAAGCGACTTTTTCAAAAATTCTGTTCAAGTTTTCTGGATTGATATGTCTGGATGGTCCTCGAACTACGGATAGTTGCGGTATGGTCCCCATCTAGAAAGTGCAATTTGTCAAGAATATTATTTGTAGTTGTATTTCCTTTATTGTAGTTTTTAGAGCTCTTGTTCCATTTATTCCATTAATGGTAACAAACGAAAGCAGTAGTGGGTTGTGGAGAACTGTGGTTAATTTCTTTCCTGGTGTGTATTAGACAACATAGCTAAATTTGAAGCAAAACTAGTTTCAAATTTTCGAAAGAAGCAAATGGAGGATCAGAGGAATAAATAAATAAATATATGAGGCAAAGTAAATGAGTCATAATTGGTCGAATGATAAATAACGTTTCTTTTGTTGTTACACAATTTATTATTTTTTGCAAGCAAAATTAATCAATCATAAATTTAGAAATAAACTGTTGTTGGACATCACTTAGACAACAAAATTTCTTGACTCCTGTACTGAAGTCTCATTAATGTAAGAATAAAACATAGACAGTGCTTGTATTAAGTTAAATTAAGTTTTTTTTTCAAAATTAATCATATATAACTGGAGGACTGAAACTGAGAGAGTGTTTAAACAACAGAAAAGGATATTGAAATACTAATGACTGGGTGTATGATGAATTAAAATTCTTTTGACCGCACCTCAAAACATAATGTTCTCAAGAAGATGACTAAATAATGCAAGATCATACTACCAAAAATATAAATTTAAATTATTAAAAAATCCCTAAAAATCTGCTGCCTTCCAATGCAACCATGAAAGCATCCTGACTTAAAAAAAGATTAATTTTATTGTAATGTACTCGTACCATTTATTTAAAATTGATATATTTATAACTATCGTTTGTTTTATATACATTTAATATGTTGTTTGAGGGTCATTGTATTGGAATGTGCTATTAAATGGATTCTGTTGTATTATATTTTATTCAAAATTGTCTAATTAACACAAGCAGAAAAAGAACTAACCAAACTAACCAAACCTAACAAGAAAATATCTTTATTTGCACATTCAGACAGATAATATAGTCGCTTAATTCCAATATTCTTCAGTATGCGACGGCGGTATGGCACTTAATAATTATATGGTTAAACGTATGCAAATAGTTAACACCTAAATGAGAACATCGAGTTAAAAAAATACAAAAATGCCAATGCATATATCAACAAGTTTGTTTTTTTTTTGAAAATTTTTAAATAATATCAGTAATCTATCATGCAAATTTTTAAAGAAAGTAACGGCTAAATTTAAATAAGGAATTAAATACACCCAGGTTTTAAATTAAAACGGACTCTTATTAACAAACCTACTATGAATTTAATTGATTTGTTTTACATTTGCAACGTATCGATTGCAAAATATAATGAAATCACTATTTGTAGTGAATAAAATACAGGTGGTAATGGCGACAATGTTGGCAAAGATCAATAATCGCTTACACAGGATGTCTCAACTTAATATAGCAAAATAATCATTTAAAATTAATGAAACAATCAACGAACACTAAGTTTTTTAAACTTTAATAGTAAAAAATAGCAAATTCAATATATGGTAAAAATATTTATAATCTTAAGCGATTGTATAACATATAATCAAACTGTAACTTCAAAATTTGACTATAAAGATTGAAACACACTGCCAAGTCAAAATTATGAACATTTTTGTCGAATCAGGTTTTATCTTTAAAAACGTTATTTCAAGAGATACAAAAAAAAGTTTTAATAAAAGTTTCGCACCATTATCTCACAAATTTTAATAGAAAAATAGAAAAATCTAAAATAAAATATTTTTTTATTAAATGAAATAATTCAAAAACTTCTAGTTTAAAGATTGACATATTATATACGAGGTGTGTTCAAAAAATACGGGGACTTCTGTAATTAGGCGGGCTCCGTACATTCGATTTTCGAAATTTTTTTTTGGTATGTTCGAAGCGAAAGTCCAGTCGCACGTCAAGTCCTATCAAATGTCAACGTTTTGCTTACTGTTTTCTTTAATTATCGATAATGCCAACTTTTTGACCAGAAACAAAACCAGAATCATGCGTCAGCCACCATATTCACCGGATATGGCCAGCTGCGAGTTTTTCCTGTTCCCACAACTCAAAATACCCATGAAAGGAAGGAAGTTTGGAATGATTGAGGAGGCAAAGAAAAAAATCGCTGGAATAACTGAAGGCTACACCAGAAAGTGCTTACCAGAAGTGCTTCGAGAATTGGAAATAGCGTTGGCACAGGTGTATTATAATTTTGGGGGGGATTACTTTGAATGGGATAACATTAATTTTGATGAAAAATCAAATACGTTTTGATAAAACTTAAAAGTCGCTTTTCTTTTTGAACTTTCGGAAATAGCAATTTGAGAAGAATTAAAAAATGCAATAATATGTAGGTATAGAGTACGATGGATGTGTTTTATTATACGAGGTTAGGGCCAAAATTTCCCGGCCTGACATACATGCAGTTCCAGTATCACGATAAAACTTTGTCTTCTTTTAAATATATATCTTAGTAGGCTGCGAAAAAACAGCACGTGTCCGAAAAAATGTCGCAAATAACGCAAATTGAGTATAGAACAGTCATAAAGTTTTTGACAAAAGAACGGTTAGCACCTAAAGTATTAAAGAAAGGCTGGATAGTGTGTACGGCCAAAGTTCTCCTTCGTATTCTGTTCTTTTCGAATTGGGCAGGAGTCCCTTGAAGATGATTCAAGAACTGGTCGACCAGTGGAGGTCATAACGGAAGATATTGTTGTGATTGTGGAAGACGTGGTATTGAGTGATCGACGTTTAAAGGTCAATGAAATCTCAGAAATTACTGAGCTTTCTGATACAAGTGTTCGTCGAATCCTGCATGATCATTTAGGTATGCATAAGGTTAGTGCAAGATGGGTTCCTAAAAACCTTTCGGCTATTCAAAAACAACGCGGTATCGAGTGTGCACGGTCTTTTTTGGAACTCTGTGGGACGGAACCGAAGCCTGTGACGGAAAATATTGTGACGGGAGATGAAACTATGGTTCTTTATTATGATCCTCTATCGACAAAAGTATTAATGGAGTGGCGTCGTAAGGGTAAAGCACCTTCAAGAAAATTCAGAGTCTGGCAGTCAACAAAAAAGGTGATGGCCACGATATTTTGGGATTGTGAAGGAATTCTTTTGATAGATTTTAAAGAAACTAATACCAATGTCAATATTAAATATTACCCAACATTATTACAAAAATTGCGAGACTGCATACGTGTAAAACGGCGGTGAAAACTGACCAGAGACGTGCGTCTTTTGCACGATAATGCACGTGTCCAACCTGCCATTATAGAGTGTGGGTTCCAACAGATAGATCATTTCCCTTATAGTCCAGATATGGACCCCAGCGACTATTATTTGTTGGATATTTGAAAAAGGACTTACGTGGACGACGGTTTAACGACGAAGTTGAGTTAAAAGAGGCTGTTTTAGCTCATTTTATAGACAAACCAAAAGAATATTTTTTGAGTTGTTAATAAAGAGATGTAATAAGTGTATTGAATTTAAGGGGATTACATTGAAAAATAATAAAAAATTGTTAGGCTACATTGTTTTTTTCATATTCAGTCCTCAAAATTTTGGCGCTGCCCTCGTATATTGGGTCTCATAATTTAAAAAATACAATATTTTTGTTATTTTTCTGTCTTTTGATAGTCTTTAGTTTTCTTTTGCTCAGCATTCAAAACGTTTTCAAATAGTGATCTCGAAGGTTCTGTTATTTTTTTGTATCTGTTGCGTATATTTTTTATTAACTAATAATCTTTAAAAAAAAAAAAAAACTTTTCAAAGTGTGTATTGTGTAATAACTTTTAGCGTTATGGAAATATTTATAGATCAAAAAATAAATTAACGTAAGTAATTAAGATTTCACAGTTACCATTATCGTACAGGGTGTAGGTTTTTTCTGTCTAATTAAAACATTTAGAATGGCAATTACGTATTAATATTATGCGAAAGCTCAAATTAAGGATGTCGGCGTTGATCGAAGAGCCGTGCTTAAAAGTTCAAATCGCCGGTTTACTCAAACATATGATTGCGTAAAAGGCGATAAAACATTCATGTGGTTATTTTCCCCATTGCCTTTAGGATCGTTAACTAGTTTCTCGGACAAAAAAAAAACACTACGGCCCTGACTCGATATGCGAGCGCGCGTTCCATGAAGTTTTTGTTGCAGAATCACGGCTCGTTATTGCATCAAAGCGTCTATCGTTTTTTTAGTAAATGGGCCCAATTCATAGACAAATGAATGTCGAAAGTGATTTGATTAAATTTCCGACAGGGTCGCACTGAAGAAACTTGTTTCTTCTCATTTACTGTGTTTGTATAAAATGCCTTTTTGGAGGAGATTAGAAAATGGCTATTTTCTTTTTTATTCGTCACAATAGGATAAATAATAACGAACATTGCACATTTAAGGTAAAGGCAAAATAATTTACCATAATTTTCAAATCATTGTGGATATTTTTTTTCATTTGAATCTGGAAAACTTTATAACAATATTCCTAACTATAAATCTCTAATCTTAAATAATTGTAAGCTTAGACATAAACAATTTTTATCACTCTACCAAGAATAATATACACTATGGCATCTAGTACTTGTATTCAATTGTTCTTCTTCTTCAATCCATCTTAGTGTAGACTAGACTTAGGCTTAATATTTTAATTAGTATTGGTATTGGTTCAGGTTCATCTTTTTAAGTTGAGTGTAAGAATAATCCTTTGACTAAACTTCGCCTACATGTTTAAAGATATATAAAGACTTATGTTATACGTTGTTAAGTGATTTATCTCAGTCAATTATTATTATTATTATTACAATTATATTTTAATTCAGTCAGCAAAAGACCGTTTTTGATGCCAGATATTTTTTAATATTATGTGTTAATAAACACATTTTGAAACTTTTATGATAAATAATTTGTTTTTCTTTTTCCCTTTTTCCTTAAAAACGGATTGTTCGGAAAAAAATTAAGCGATCAAAATTGCATCAGGTTAAACAGGGATTTCAAACATAAATTTTTACTTTAGGAAAAGACAGTAGCGTACCTTTTTTCTTAAAAATCAGGAACGGCATTAAAAAAAATCAGATCAAAAAATGTTTTTTTTTGCAGCTCGAAAGCAGTGTGCAAAATTATCTCGACAAGAAGTGTAGAAAGTCATAGTTTACAAAAAAAAAACAAAATTTCTTGCGGAATTTATCCGCCATGTGTTTGTTCTTTGCCTATTACAAAAATTAAAAATACCAAAATGAATGATTTTTAATTCCCTACAAAGCAGGCATTTATTTTATGTTAGTAATAATAATAAGATGCTTTAAGGACACAAGGGAACAAAATTTGTTAAAACGCTCACAAATGTGCATATTAAGAAATGATTTGTTTGTTCAATTATATGCTGTTGGTGGACCTTGAATCATGAAAGTTTCTTTTTTAAATTGCGATTTTTATTGTAGTGACTGGCAGTAATTTTTTTCGGTGAACGTGCCTTAACCAGCGTTTCATTAAATTTAGATGGAAAGAACTCAAACATAGGTGATTTTTTTGAAAAAAAAATCAATAATGATGATCGTGAAGGAAGTACGTCCGCATCATATGGAACACATTTTTTTAATGAGTTTACATTTACCTTTACATGTCCAAATTGACATTTTAAAATATCGAAAAATATCATTGGAAAAGTCGTTTACATTTTAGTTTCCCACCAATTTTCAAAAACATCGGACAAACCTGATTTTTTTTCTGTTTTTTAATAATTTATCTTAAACATTCGACTTGATAGAAATTCTTCAAATGCCACTTATAGAAATCGTCAGAGTTGATGCAAATTTAAAGTTAAAAGCAAATAAAGTTTGTAATAATTAATAATTAATAATTTATAAATTGGTAAATAATTAATTAATAAAACATGTTCTTCTATGGGGCTTAGTTTAGTGGCATTTTTATTTGAGCACTGATATTGGTAAGGCAACAACTTTGATTATTAAGAGGGATATTTTCTATTGTTTTGAATTCATTATTCGATTTACATTAAAAAAATTGAGCGCCTCAAAAATGAAGCATTTAAAATTTTTACATATCTATTAATAAATCGAATTAATTACGAAGCATGAGTTAATTTAAATTTTAATATAAATATCTAATATTATCGTGAAAATGCTTACACAGAAAAGGGACAAAGTAGATTTTATAACACAAGACACTTTTGAAGATTTTGTTTACTTTTCCATCTCGATAGAGGAATGCATTTTTTATCATTGTAATTTGTTTTGCTTCACCGAGAAATTTTTGAAAATTACATTTAGATATGCTGTCGGTTTTTGAGGAATAATATTGTTTGGCAATGTATGAAGCCTGAAAAAAATTTTTTTTAAAATGAATCTTCTGCAAACGGCTATTTAAAAACTGAAGTTGATTTCCGTAGCCACGAATTTATTTTTTCATACTTCTAACTTACCCAGTGTAATTGCGATTTTAGCTATATATAATACACGTTTTTTTCAATAGAAATTTTCCGCAGGATCTGCACTTCGAGACAAATCCTGCGAAAATTATCATAAGCCGTAGAAAAACGCTTACTTTAGAAGGTTCTTCGAAGCAGCTACAGGAACACCGCTCCACTACGAACACCCAATTCTTACGCACTCGCGGATCGTACTGGTCAACAGTCGCGAAGAGATGCTGTACCTTCGGTACCGCAAAATATGTATGTTAATGGGACGAAGAGCGTTCAAAGCGCTCGGGCTCCCATGAAATACGAAACCGAACGGCCAAACTAGTGGGGTAAAAGGGGGGAGCCGACGCGTAAGAGCGGTGGTCTTCTGCTCGGAGGGGTATCTACGTTAGCACAGGAATACCCTGGGTAGCGGGAAACCCGCACACCGCGCGTAACTGATTGGTATTCGCGAAACCGCTACTGTATCGCATGTCGTTGCTCTTGGGAAAAACGCGCAGGATTCGCAGAATACGAGACAATGACATTGTTATTATTTATATAAAGTCGGTTCATAGATATAAGAAAGTGACCAATTGCTTTTGAATGGAATTATCCAAGGGTGGTCATCAACATACAATGCAACAAGATTATTGCTTAAAGTTTCGAAATTTAAATTCAGGTAAAATTGTGGTCCGTAAGAGAAGATAATTTTATACCTACCTGTGGTTAATATTCTTTGGTTTGGTATATTACTTAGTTTAAGTTTATTAGTAATCATTCTTATTTCGTGTGTAATGCAGCGTGTGTTGAATCGTGTGTGAATTATGCAAAATATGTGCGAGTCTAGTGTATCTCAGGAGATGCTCCCGCCCAAATGTAGAAAACACTATTCTATCGAGGCTAAGGAAGTTATAAACAGTGTTTATTTCACTCTCATTGAACGTTGTGCCAGCAAGCAAGCATCTTTAGAAGAAACGGCCACATTGACGAAAATTCCAACACCAACTGTATGGAAAATTGTGAATAATCCCATTTCAGCGAGGAAAAAAAGAAGCGATGCCGACATTTTCTCGAGTGTAGATGAAAGTGATCAAGATATAATATGGCGTAAAATTTACCAGTTATACGAGGAACAAAGCGTGCCTACATTAGATATCCTAATAAGAGGCTTTAAAAGGATGAAACCGGTGTTAAATGTGGCAGAACTAGCTTATGGAAGTGTATTCAACACATGGGTTTTAGATTTTAAAAAATTGACAAAAGGCAAGTTTTAATAGAATCTTATAGAATTCGGAAATGGCTACTGGAATGTCTAGAAAAAATTAGGATTTACAGAGAACAATAAAGGCCAATTATTTACTTGAATGAAACTTGGTTCGACACTTATGATACCCCGGAAAAGGGTTGGGTTGACTCAACTGATAAGTGTAAAACAAAAGCGCCATCAAAAAGAGGTAAAAGAATAACTATTTTGCATACTGGCTCTAAAGATGGTTGATTCCAAATGGATTTTCTCTATCTGCGAAAATATTAAAGATTTTTCTCTGGATTACCATGAAGACATCACCGCTGATTTATTTGAAAGTTGGTTTAAAAACAAACTAGTTCCAAACATTCCTCCTTATAGCGTCATTGTAATGGACAATGCAAGTTATCACAGTAGGCAGTTGACTACAACTCCTTCCTCATGTGACACAAAAGCAACAATCTAAAATGATATGTATAATAACGACATTTATTTTCACGAAGATTATACCAAAAAGCAATTAATTGAGGTTCTACAAAGCTTCAACCTACAAAAGAAATACGTCTGTGATAATTATACAGTATGGTTTATATTTTGATAAATGTCGCTCTGGCTTGTTCGATCCTGCTTCGAATCTGAGTGTCTGGATCTAGATCTTAGGTTATCCAAATTTGGAGATCTGTTGGATCTGTTGGCCGTTAATCAAGTTGTTAAACCCAAACCTGGTGTTCTGCTTCTTACTATAACCTTACTTTTAGCAAAACTTCTGGATTCCTCCTGCGTCGGTTTTTGCTGAGTCCAAATTGCTGACGTTTCGCCAATCACCCTGTTGGCTTCTTCAGTGCTTGACTGAAACTGGCTCGTATTTTACTCTGTACCTGCTTATATATTGTTTGAGGAGGGCGCTAATGAGGGGCATCAACACCGTCTCGGATAACTGATTCCCAAATTGGTTACAGGTAGAGACCTGAGTCGCGGTTAAGATTGTTGATTGTAGATTTCTATAGACTCTCGGATTTTTCGCCCTTTTTTTTTATGTTCGGTTTCATGAGTGTGTTCGGCAATAGCTGATGAGTTTATTTGTCTTAGTCGTAAGGCTCTTTCGTGTTCTTTGAGCCTAGTTGATATTTGACCTGTAAAGCGGTAGTTTCTGAAAAAAATGCTGAAAAAAGAGCTTTCGCCATATCACTGTGAATTAAACCCTATAGGATTGGTATGACCGCAAGTAAAATTGGTAGAAGCAAGGCATAACTATTTTCAAAATGAGGGATATTGAGATCTTCTTCAAAGAGGGAATAGAGACAGTGAATTGTGAAAAATGGAGTAACTAAACATCCGATGGAAATGTGAAGATGCATGGGAAGCTGATAACGCTAGGAAATACTGTATAGCCTTTTATTATTCCTTCGGACTCCAGCCACTATATGATTAGAATTTACAGATGAAGATGTAGATTAATATCTACATTATGTGCCCATCCCTGTAATTATTATGCTTGTAGTAAAGCCGCTATGACATTACCCCAACTTAGGGACTATCATTGAAACTTTTCTAAGAAACTTTTACAAATCTTCTGAGTTCCTGTATCCAGAGGAATGAATGAATGCAGAACGGGAATGAACATTATCTGGAATAACTGATTTCCATATTGGTGAAAGGTAAAGACCTGAGTCGCGGTTGAAGTTTTTTTGTTGCTTATTGATTTTGGTTGGTTTTGAAATTATATTTCTTAGGAACTTTTGTTATGGGATTCATGATGTTTTAAATGTAAAGAAAGACAACACTAGTAAGTGTGTGGTTGCTTTCGAACTCATTGTCTTTGGAAGTTTGTGGTGGAGTTTATTTTGTGTGATGGAAAGCTTAATATTTCTAATGTGATGTAATAAAATATAAAAATAAACTCGTGACTCAGTTGCAGTTTACCGCACGTGTTGAATGTACCATTATGAAGGATATTGGCGTTTTTATAAGTAGGTTGGTTTCTTTTAAACTTTCTTTTAATAAATCCTCTACTTATTAAACCTTCGTACAGAGTTTTTATAATCTCTTTTCCATCTAATGACAGGTGACTTCGACGTCTAATAGCGAAAAAGTTAGAGATATATTCGTATATTCGAAGGTAATAATTACATTATAGAAGAGAATCCGTCAATAATCGAGACGATATACTTCGACACACACCATACCTTATGACAAATGCTGTATGGAGGCGACATAAAATTACAAACTGCCTTAAGGTCAGAATTCGAGACCAACGTTGTAGTACTTTCACACTTCAATCTTCATCATATTTTAACGTAGGATAATGATTGAGACTTAACGACTTCACCTAATAACAGTAAAAAAAGTTGTTTGTTATTGTTATTATTGTCGAGACGGTAGTTAGAAGAGGAAAGCCAAACAGATACGCGAATCCAAGCGAGAGGCTTTAATTATAAAGCGTAAGCTTAATTAGGCGAATGGCCTTGACTCTCTTTTCGTCGTGCACTCTGCAACTTACTCTCGATTACAAAAGATAGAAGCCAAGACCGCAGAGCGTATTCACGTTTCCGTAACTCATAACCTGATTCATTTATCATTTGCCGTAAGACGGTTATTTTTCGGACCAGGGGTTTTCCCAGTAAGCGCAGTTGTAAACATTTTAATTGAAAAATAATTTATATATCAAGACTCTAGTACACACCTGAAGTTACGATGCAATGAAATTGATTTACTTTTCGCAGTAAATTGCACACCCGTAACTGTTCCCGACAGAAATTACATTTCAATTACATATATGTAAATGAAATTATACAGGGTGGCTCATCGAAAACGCAAGGAAAAGCATAACTGTCTAATTCTGTTCGTAGTTCAAATTTCAAACTTTAATTTTCCATAATGTAGAAACAGATTGTTTATTTCCCCCCCTGTAAATGCGTTATACTAATTTTCACTAATTTGTTTGCATTTTTCATAATATTAACATTAAACTTGTTGATTGTTACTGACACAATTATAATTATCAGTAAATTTATTCAACAAAACTATAGATTAAAATTGAATAAAGTTAATCATAAATTAACATATTTGCTTTATAACATTTTCTTAATAAGGTTTGTTGAATTTTCATGAAACTCGGAAAAACACCCAACAATTTTGCGTGTTGGATCTAGGAAAAGTATACAATATAACAACATAATAACTTATTGACTAAAGTTGCGTTTGTATACAAAATGTAAATTATATAAACTTAGATCTAATTTAAGCGTTATATAAATCCCAGTAACTTCCATATCTAGAGTCATATGACTACAAGCAAACTGAAATTGAAAATAATTTATTTTTTCATCTTTTATTCATTATTGTTATTTAACAAAAGAAGTAATTATCCGCGATAAAAACGATATTTGAAACTAATAGACTAATACAAAGCTACTTTTGTACAAAAAATGTATATATGTTGGTAGAAATTAGTGATTAATGGTAAATCTTCAATCAATGCTCGTAGCACTTGCCTTAAGGGTCCTGATTCATTCTTAGTTTAGGTTTGCCAACCATACTCTTAAAAACAGTCTCATGCTTTATTTCTAATTAATACTGCTTACTGTTCCTTTACACTTTGTGCCTTTTCTGCAGTCCAAAAAAAGACGCGACGCGACAGAATGACACAAAAAACGTGAACCTAATTGAGCTTAATTTTTGTATAGTGTTGTTGTGGGTTTGAAACTCTTAGGTTTAAATTGTGTTTATTTAATGCACTAAAATGGAAAGTGAATATGATTGACGTTCAGATCAGTTCAATACTTGAATATTTTACCCCAAAAGATGGAATTCAACAAAGGTGACTGAATTTTTATGAAATTGTAAATTCAGCTATTAAAAAACTCTTTAGCATCCTTTTAACTTTACCATGACTTTTTTAAAATCAGATATCGGAAACATTATTTTAAAAATTTATAGTCATTTTTTTTGGGGCACTTGCAATACTAATATACAATTCGGTTTAACTGGACACCAATTTGTGATTACTTTGTCAGTTGGGATGTTGACTGTGTAATGGTTATTCAAAAACCTGTTAAAGTTAGATACAGGAGTTGTATGTATGTATTCAATATTTTCAACAAAACAATTAAAACCATTAGAAGCTAATAATGTAACTATTTTAGATGTCTATAATTCTCTTCACAAAACTTCTGGAT